CATTTCGTACTTGCATATGGCAGGCTTGATGCGCATTTGTACAGCGGGAGTTAGCGCCAAGCATTGCATTAGCTTCCCTAGAGGATTTTGTAATGATACTACGTTGCAAACTGCAAAACGTTAATTGACAGATACCATGGCCTACTCCAGTGAAAGATGCCCAAGTCTACTCATACGACGCAGCTAGTGAGTCTGTACACATGACTGTTTGCGATGAGTATCAGGCTCTGTATTAATGCCAGGCGAGCAGAGGTTTTCGCGACCACTGTAGCGTATGCCGCTGTATTAGTAGGTCCGTTGAAACTCAGTACAAATTGTCCCGATGGGTGCCGAATGTTCCTATAGTGTTTGTAAGCGGCGATTTTGGTGGTGGTAAGATTGAATGCATGATACAGCTTGTTGACCGACTCTGGAAGACTATCAGCTGTCCTACATAGGCGGAGTTTGTCGTGAAGAACTGTAAGAATGATTAAGAGGACATAGGGTCAGTGAATGACGGAACAGTAACTTGATTGCTACGAATGCCTACGTGCTAGTGAGCGAGATTGTATCGCTGGCGCTGTACGCGTTTATTCGGGTGATTTGTATCCCGAGCGCATGTAATGATTACTACTTCATCATGTAGGTCTGGAGGGCTCAGCCAAAAGCAGCCAGTACTGCTTGCCCGCCGAGAACACCAAGAAGCGGATTACTGATCCTGAGGCTGCCTGAGCATCATATAGCCATGCCAAAATCGCGAGAGCGCCTTTTGCGATGAACGAGCACTTTTGCAGCTTTGCTAGTCCAGAAATCGATCACACTCAAGCAGTATTTATGTGTTTTACAAGGCATGTGCCGCAGAACGCGAAAAAATGGAACATGATATCGTTAATATTTGAATGCTAGGATAAACTGGTATAGTAGTCCGCTTTGGAAGATTGGTCCAACGGCGTAAATCCCAGGGTTAACCACGAGCATCGTCACTACTGTATCGGTCACGCTTGGTGCGACTTTAGTAAGTGTATCTGAAGCCCTTCTGGTCGCCGTCCTGTGCACATATTAGTATCTGGGCGCAGATATTGTGAATGGAAGGTACATACGTTGTACTCTAGCTCAAGCTCACCCCGATCCGCACGCTTGTTCAAGCTCCACGACCTCAACGTTATCAGAATGACAACAACGATTGTAAGCAGGCAGCATGCGATGCAGGCGTATAGTCCAGGCTCATATCCGGGCTTGTCTTGTTCCCTGAAGACGAGACCACCAGCGATGCCGCCGACGCCGCCCATTCCAACCAAGATGGCAGAACAGAATGCGCGCTTCCACTGGCCTCTGATGTTGTTTGCCTGGTATGACATTGTGGCGGGGATGTTGCTGTTCGCGCCAGCAGTGGTCAGGAAGACGCCAAAGTACCTGACGTTCGAGTTGCTATGGAAGCCCATAATGGGTAGACCGACGAGGCAGAGAACCATGTTGAACAGAATGATAGGTCCACGGAGGTGGTACTTGTCTCCAAGCCAGCCGGTTGTGTACATGACGATGGCGGCAAATGCGTAAGGAGGCGCAACAAGACATTGGGCTGCACCGACGCTGAAGCCCATGTTTCCTGTCAGAATGATAGGCAGGAAGTACGCCAGCGCGTACGTAACAGTCGTGGTGTTGAAGAAGATCTATCTTTGTCAATACTTGGCATTCAAACGGTAACCTGAGGACATACCATCGCGAATCCCCAGATTTTGATATCAGCACCACCCTTGAAGAACTTGGCCAGAGACCATGGCTCGGGCTTAGCATCACCACGATCCTTGTTGACACGATCAATGATGAACATAGCTTCACGCTCAGTCAGGAAGTTCCACGACTTATGCGCCTTGTCCGGGAAATCCACCAATGCCCAGTAACCGACGATACCAAGGAAGCACGTTAGCGCGCCTTCAATGATGAAGATCCCTAATTTTGGAACTTTGCGTCAGTGTTGTCAAAACGTAAGGCGCAACCTGGTAACAACTTACATCGCCAACCGTTCAGACCCTCTCGGCCTTTCAGTTGCATCAAGCCGTACGCCAGGATACCAGCACAAGCAGATGCCAGACTTCCAAGGATATAGAAACACGAGTACCGCTTTCCGATGTCGTATCGGGTATCTGAAACAATTGTCAGCATCTAACGGCCAGTCGGTTTCTATGTCACGCTTACACCAGGTGGACAGCAAGTATACACAGCTTGGGAAGAAACCGGCTTCCAATACTCCAAGGACAACTCGTAGTGCAGACATGGTTCCGTAACTGTCTGCAAAGCCCATGCCGATCATGACACCACCCCATAGCACTACAATAACCGAGAGGAAGTTCCTAGGTCCAAGGTAGCGACAAATTACTGTTGCCGGGGGTTGGAAAACGATGTAGGAAGCGAAGAATACGATGGTGACGACAGAGTAACGAGATATTGTGCCTTCTAGCTTGCCCAGGCCAAGCTCGACATTCATACTGTTGGCTGTCAGCTTCTACACCGAGCAATTTCGGGTCCACAATTCACGAACCCAGCGATAGCAGCAGCGCTGAGATTGGTACGGTCCATCAAACTGATGCAGTACAGCACTCCGACAGTCACGACAAGACGCCGGTCGATGCGATGAATGATCTTTCTCTGCTCTCGCTCACTAAACTCGCATTCGTATCCGGAGCCATCTTGGGAGCCATCGATGTTTTCCTTGAGCGAGACCGGCCTCTTCTCGAACGCGTCGTCGTGACGCATGACAGACTCTTGATGAGCCATGGTGGATACGTAGGTTGGTCGTGGACCCTTAGGAAAGTAGGAGGGAATGTAGTGAGTTCGAGCAGGAGTAGGGTAAGCCCACGATATACACGTTATATGTCCAAAGCTCTTGCCGTTCGCCTCCCCACCCACGCGCTGCCAAGCACAGTGGGCGCATTGGGAAGGGAAGCATCACTGCTGGTAAAGTACCGAGGCACGGGGATTCACCACTCATTCGTCCGGGGTGCTCTGTGGCTACCTTTTTAGGACCGCACGATCCTAGCATCAGCCTGCCAACAGGAGAGGGAAATCTGCGGGACAAAGCCAAAAGGGCGAGGAAAGCTGGGGAGAGGCTTGGCGTGTGGAGACCCCGCATCCTAGCGAATGCCGCCGTTCGTTCCGGATCCACAACAAGCCAAATGACCTACAAGAGAAGCCTTCTTGTGAGCATGCTACTAGTCTCTTGTCGCCCGCCATGGCGGAACTACGCACAGGAACAAGAGCTGAAGAGTCGACAAGGACCGACTCACATTCACTTCCTTTGTTCAGTTTCCATGTCGTGCAACCCAGAGATTAAGCGATCGGCATCACCACGTTTCAACAACACGCGCGGGGTAACCAGGCGTCCCTGGCGCTGTAAGAACTCCACATGGGCACATCTTGCTCTCCAGACCTTGTCCCGAGCAGGCAACTCCTCCGGCTTGCTTCGCAGCGCATGTGGTTTCGAGCCGCATCGAGCAAGGGGGCATTGGCACTGATTTCCCGTTCCAAGCCTCCGGCGACTTGGCGGAACACCGTCAGCGTCATTCTGGTCATTATCGGGATGCTTGACACAGAGCAAGATTTCTTTGCGGACGCTTGCGGTGCGCGTAGCTCCGCAAGACGACCAAGTGAAAGAGGTTGAGGCACACAACCGAGTCCCTCACGTTGCATCAACAGAGGTAATTGAAGCAGACATGCTTCAGCTTGTGGAAGAACGGTGAAATACTGGACTAGATCCAGAAGACGTGAATGCCTTAATCCTTGGTGAGAAAATACGATGCAGTACAACTCTATGCATGCACACTTTCGGCTAATAAGCGCACAAGGACTAGACTTTTGACAACGCCTCCAGCCTAGACCAGCAGATCCTGCCGCGAACCTGCCGCGGGCACAAAGGGCTCACCTGCGACTCCTTCGCTATCCGTCACTAGGCTTGACACCAAGGGATGTTCTGCATGTGTGCAGCATTGACGACGTGGCGTAATCACACCACCAGCGATATACAATATACACGAACGCATGTTTTGACACAACACAACTTAGACGCAAGAAAGCCAAAGCAAGCATCTCATTTATGTATGAAATCGGGTACCAGATGTTGTATTAAAACGCATTCATGACTACTGCCCAAGTGATCCATCGTGTACGCCATAGAGTCGACCGTTCACCCATGCATGCAATGTATTCGCTCTTCTTCTCACATCTGGATTACATTTAGAAGGAACACTTTGCTGATAGCCTTTACCAGAAGATTGGAACGTGGCGATCATCGCATCGTAACCCGGTGCTTGGGAGCCTGATCGGTAATCTTCCCCAGATTCTGGCTCTCCGATGAGACCCTGAGACTCTCCAATCAGCATTGAGATAGTATTTCAATAACCGAGGCCTGCAAGATGCAGATTTCCAGAGTATCGATATCGCGTGATTAGCTCCACGCATGCATGCAACATGTGCACCGTCAACAGCTTGGGTTGTAGCCCATAAACTTTTCACAACCACTACAACCCAGTCGCTGCCACCAATCCCAACTCACGTTTGCGTCAAGCCGAGGCACTGTTGTCTGCCTCAATCTATCGTCTTGACATGTCTTGCTGGGCGCTATTGATCAGACGATTCCATGCATTTCTTTCACACCCACGATATTGTGATTGTCGAGTGCTGCCAATCAGCTGGCTGACAGGCAGATAAGTTCCGAGGCAACACGCTGCCAGCGCGGGAGGCCAAGGAGTTGGGTACACCCCAACGCAAGCCACAAGCAAGATAAGACACGCGGATAGGTAGGCTTTAGATATGGGCGGGAAGAGATTCGCTTCTACCTTCCTGGCCGGCTATGTGTAAACACCGAGGCAACAATAAACCAATTACGACTTTCAGCCAACAGCACTCGCTTGCAAGGAGGTGGTGAGAGGCGTGGTATTGCGCCAGTCGGGTATCGCCAGTATCATTGACTCACAAGTAGCATACTTTCTGTATCTCTAGACATCCTAATTGTATCGCTCAACCTCCTACCGTCTCGTCGGCGGTTTCATTACCCATTTCTCTCCAGCCTCTGTTCTCTTGAAATACCCGGCGCATCTCCCTTTGTTATCCTGCAACTCCCAATCCTTGACTACGATTTCGTGTATCATATGCAACAAACCCATCTTCACCGTAATCTTCCCCTCCGCTAAATCAAATGCATCGGTAAACTTGATGGGATCTGAGTAGAAGAGATGTGGCTCTTGCAGGACATCGACCCAGTCGAATAGTGGAGACAGCTCGGGCTTGAGTATGTTGATGTCAACCTCTTCAATACATGTGTTGACATCGAGACGTAGAAACATGACCTCATCGCTGCTCACGAGGAAACCATAGCTTGTGCTGATCTTCAGCATGCACCAAGCTATATCTCCTATGCCAATAGTGAGTAAGGATCCTCATGTGAGGACCGGTGACCTACCCAGTACGCATCTCAGGCTCCCCCAAGAGTTCTTGCCCGCCCCCTCAACGGCCCAGGTCAACGCTCCCGGTCTTCCTCCCAAATACTCTACATGGCCGATCAGTCTCGGCTTCGGCTCTAGATTCTGACCTACAGGCCTCGCGCGAAACCGGAATTTGGGCCCGAGTTTGGGATCTAACAAAGCTTTGCTAAGTAGAATGCGTTCCGGTTGCCTATAAGCACCCAATTGCTTCATCATCCGTGTAGTAAGCATTTCGTTGTAGACTATCTCCACGATCTCCGCCACCTCGCGTCGAAACATGTCTTCCAATTTTGCAGGACCTGTGTAATCTTCGCCGGCAAGGTTACCTTCACCACCGTTGTCTTCATTATCGACACTGGCATCTCTAACTGCGCTGTCTCTATTCGCGGTGTCGTTTTCTTCGGCGACGATGTCTTCGCCGTCGACTGTCGCAGCAGGTCGTGGCATATCCATTTCGTGGTCTTTGAGTTCGTCGAGAATCGCCTTGCAACCTGCACTCTCCCAATGGTGTGTCACATTGCGCTGGTATTCCTTCCAGTGATGTAAATAGCCGAGGTACTAACGTCGTGGTGCTTTGGCGGGTAGAAAGAGCGGCTCGTCCGATTTCGCTCCCAAAAGGTAGCGTATACTGACTGGTTGCAATATCGCTGACCGAATGCTTGATGGTGCTATGCTCGAGGAATTTTGCCTTGGTGGTACCTGCTCTAGGGTCTCCAGATCCGAGGCTCCCTCGAGTGGAGGCTCCTGGTTCGAAGACTTCTCGTTTAGAGGCTCCATACCGGAAAGGTTCTCGTCTGATGAGCCCATTCCGTGCAACGTGGCGTCGTGCTTGGATAATGATAGACAGGATAACGATATATGTTGTATGTTGCGAGTGTAGAGAGTGTGTAAGTGGTAGGAGTAGGTAAACGCATTTTCCACTTGTACCTCAGAGGCAATTGCTCGGTTCTCAAGTACTGCTCGCAGTTGCTATTTCATACATTTGCTCTTACCGCAGTCAAGTGATATGTGAAACGTTGTTACGACGAAAGTCGCAGTTCAAAAGCTCTCAATTCAACCGAAAACCTATGCCTCTTGTGCAGCATACACTGCATCTAGGCGGGTAGTTTCCGTCTTTTTTGTGGCTCTTTACTGTGTCATCGACATGTCGACACGACTGGACTGTCCTTCACAGGTGACGCACGTTTTGGAAGTGCTTGCTACACCTACTCCGCAGACATATGCCGTCTGATTAAGGACGAAAGGCAGTGCATGCAGACCCGTAATCTTTCAAATACAATATGCAGAGTGAAGTATGATGTAGTTGCTCGGGGCTGGCAAAGGAGTGTTGAGCCCTGGAGGAAAGAAGGAAGGAAGCAAGCAAGTTGGCAACTTTAGCCGAACTCGCAGTGTCCCACAATGACAACATCGTGCCGAACTCCACTTCCCCATCCCAGCTTGCGCAGCCTGACATCCTGTTTACTACAACCAGGCACAACATGTCTTCCACATTCGTCGATCACATTATCTGTGCAGCCATTTATCCCACTGACTATCTACCAACGTGAATAAAACAATGTACGCGCTCACACTAGCGGGAATACCCATCTCGATTGGCGCCAACGAGGCAGTACACCAGCAACGGCTGCTGGATGAAGAAGCTGAAAGCGATGAGCGCCAAGAAGAATTTTATCTAGATGTTTTCTGCGACGCCAAGAGCAGGAAGAGAGACGAGGTACATGGCGCAATAGTGGTACTGAAGGATGGAAAGGTACATGACTACAGCTGCTCCGCGGCGCACGAGACTAACAAGTTTGTAGATACGGCTCTGGCCCAAAGATGCGGAGACAGGCTTGCCAAAGCCTGGTCCAAACGATGAGCCAGCACCGCACCCCTTCACGGGATTCTATCTACCCTTTCCGTCTTCCGATCTGCCGCACCGTCCTATGCCTGCAGCACCTGTCCTTGGTCTCGTCAGTACAATACCAGCATCACAGCCTTCACCACCTTCATCGCCAGCTTCGTCCGCACCCTCTACGCCATCCCCCATAGCTCACAAAGCGCCCTCGAAGCCCTCGAAGCCCAAGCTCAATTGGCTCTACGCAGACAAGACAAGGCGCGAACTGCGTTATGGCCCACGTGTAGAAGCGAAGAAACACACAGTTGGACCGTGGGATTGGACGGAAGATGAACAGGGACTGACTTTGGATGGGGAGGAGTGCCTTGTTGCTGTGGAAGAGGAAAAGGGTGGGTACGGCTGGGCCGTATACTGGGATAGGGAAGATGACTGTCTAAAGGAACAAGGGATAGGAAAAGATAAGAGGGTATTGAGGTGTAGTTTGGAGAGAAGACTGGTAGAGGAGCAAAGGGTCAAGGGATTGAACGAAGACTGACACTGCTGGCACAGATGCCGAGCTGATGATTGTCGTGTTTCAAGTGCATGCAGATGACTCTGACAGAATGATTAGCATAGTTGTATGCTTCCTGCGCTACATTCACCACTCGTACCTCGAAGGCGGGAAGGGCGACACTCGACTTGTGTGAAAGATCGCGAACCCAACGCGCTCTGATTGGCTGTGAGGTGTCGAGCAGCGAGCGGGGGGAAACGCGTGCAGGGATCCCCACGTGTCCGGACGTGGTTGCCGGGCAGACGCAGGGAAATCAACACAACATCAAATACACGCCGTGCCTGCATTAGACTCGCTGTCTCCCGCACCCCTTCCACCTGTCTGGACATCAGCATAGCATAAAATCATCGTCACACGCGCCTACTTTCTCCCCGACGCAATTGTTACCCCGCATAAAATGGCAAACGCGAACGTCGCCCAGCGGTCAGTCGTCCCATATCCCGCCAGTCCAGACCCCACTCCCCGCTCTCCTACTGACGCCCTCTCAGTCTCCAGAAGGAGCTCATGGACATTATGACCAAGCCCACACCCGGCATAACCGCCTTTCCCGACGACGAAAACATGACCGTGTGGACTGCCACCATCGACGGCCCGGTCGACACACCTTACGCCAACCTCGTCTTCAAGCTGTCCATGGAGTTCGCCAGCAACTACCCCTACAGCCCGCCGACCGTCCTCTACAAGACGCCCATCTACCACCCCAATGTCGACTTCTCGGGCCGTATCTGCTTGGACATCTTGAAGGACAAGTGGAGCGCCATCTACAACATCACGACTGTATTGCTGAGTCTCCAGAGTCTGTTGGGGGAGCCAAACAAGTGAGTATTCAACGAGTCCAGGTCAAGGCTCGAGTTTGAATGTGCTGACTGACAGCGAAACAGCTCAAGTCCGCTCAACGGTCAGGCCGCAGAGCTCTGGGACAAAGACCCCGCCGAATACAAGCGCCTCGTTCTTGCACGCCACAAGGCACCTGAGGAACTGGACGCCTGAGTGCCTTCGCCACTTCCACTTTGATCCGGCGCTGCCTCACGGCTCGGTGCGTCTGACATTCGGTCCGGCACGCGCCTGACGGCACAGTCGTTGCGCATTTTGAGCGAGGCGTTGAACGCGGGCCAGATGCTTGTCGTCAACCTGTGACGACATGCGCCTGGAACTCAGCAGTCGGGTTATGAAACGAACTTTGCTTTTTGGTCACTGTCGCTGGCACGAAAAGGCTTGTAATGGCGAGCTGTGCGCCCCAAGGCTGAGTCCACGCTCAAGACAGCGAGGGCCTCGACGTTCCGGAACGTCTTTTGGCTTTGGCATGGAGTTGCACCAGGCGCTTTGTATTGGTTCGCATTGCGATGGCGTAGGATAATGTTAGACGACGATTGCAGTCCTTCATACTCATGTCCTGTCCGTTATGTCCTCAACTTTCACGAATACCTACAACGAATCTCCAACTAAGAGCGTGTCTTGTTGCCCATGTTCTGTTGAGTGATGTCGCAGTACTATGCAGCAAGTGGCTGCTTATCGCACCACCATCTCTAGCCGTCACCCCAACACACAAGAAACCCGTAGTGATTAAACATAACACAACTGTCCATGCAAACAGAGTATAGCATATAGCGGGAACAATGACTGCTTGTGGGCACAAAACATGGGAGACTCATGTCCCCAACCCAACCATGGTGGCCTCGCCAGCGAGATCGCTCGCCCCACGCCACTGCCGCTCGACGCGGGATCAGACCAGGGTCACACACCTTTGGAGTTTGCATTTGCGCCCACATGCCCACGCGCCCAGCGCTGCCGCAAGGGCCCGACCTGCACATCAGTTGATCACCTTAAAATCGCCGATCAGGGCATTAAGTCCTGCTTTGCTTTTCCACATGTTCAAAGCTTCTAGACGAACGGTGAGACTTGGCCCAGTGATGAAAGTAGACGCCGAAATGGCATCCGCTACCATCATCTAAGCTGTGTGACGCGTTATGGACTTCTAAATAGAGGCTAGGTGGGTCGGAGCGCGTGCATGATGGCGCTCTGAAATGGTGGTGTGGCAGTGGGCTTGGAAGGCTGGGAAAACTCGGCCTTGGGAAGGCTGAATGGGAAGGTCTAGGTGAGACGCCATAAAATACCGCCGCAACTGTTGAGGCATGCCAGAAAGCCTATAGGTTGGCACGAGCAATAAAGGACATCCAGTGCAAGGCTGATGTGGCTGTCACTGTCCGGCGCCCAATCTCCCGAGGACTCGTATGCGTCGCGCGCGTAGCCAGGAAATGATACGGACCTGCAGTCGTGTAGCAGAAGAGTAATCTGCGACTGTGCTGACGTAGTCTTGATTGCGCATTGTTTTTCGCTGAGGCGAGACTTTCTGTGTTAATAATTCATCGTACAATATAGGCGTTGTTCAGATCCCGTCATCGATGCGATGCGCGGCTCTCAGTGCCGCCAAATCGCGGAGAAAAGTAAAGTGAATTTGCGGAGTGGGTATGAGCCTCATTTGTCAAGGATATAGAATAGATCCGATGGTGGTCACTCCCGGTTCAATCAGGGTAACACGAATTAAATGGAAGGCTAATACCCAATTTCCCCAGTGCACTTGTCTGTAGGCTTGGATAGTCGCTGAATGGGATTGGGAAGATTGTTTTGGAGGGCTAGATCGGTGGCTTGCAATCTCGATCTCAAATTCTCTCAATGCGTTGCTTTTCGAGACAACGTTGCACGAACGAGGGGCAAACTGATCGAAAAGCAACAGCACTGACATCGTTGTGCGCAACTTCAATGAACATTTGATGATCTTGTGACGGAAGCTTGTGGTACCTCATCTATGTACCCCGCCATGGCTTCGCAACGGCAATATCGCCAGAAGACGGGGTCAGGGGTGCAGATATTATGCCTCGGATACCTTCCAGAAGGCGCAAGCTTCCCATATTGGAAGACGCTCTGCATATCCGGTGTGCTTGGAACTGACTGCTGATCTATGCTGATCGTTGGCATTAACTGTTCGCACAGTTTGCTTGCGGTGTTTGTTACAAAGGCAACACTATCAAGCGATACGGACTTTGTATGCAGGTCAGCGTTGGTATTGCTGCAGGTGCTCGGGAGAGTGGAAGCATGGAAGCAACCACAAACACACGCTGCTGCTCAGTCTGCGGCCGTGGTTGCTCATGCACATGTCGAGTAACCTGTTCGCTCACGCATTTGGTTATTGTTACTGGCCGCCGAACCGGACGCGAGGTTCCGACGCGGACGGATTCTAGTCTATGGTTTAGTGTCCACCATATCGCCTGACGCTGCAGCCGACGACGCTCTACGAATCATAGAATCGGGCCTGTCTGCTGGCGCACACTCGTTGGAGTGGTTCGTCGTAGTCGCAAGAGTGTGGCTGACTGCTAGAGGTGGGGTGTTGAGAAAGAATGGCACGACTCGTATGGAAACTTTGTCGAGCAGAGTAGTTCACGGTCAAGTCGACTTGAGACACTCATGAAAGCTTGCCAAATTGTTCGTATTTACAGTATCGATGATGCCATGGTAGCTTTCACAAGTGAGTCGTTCGAGAAAGCAAAGCTCCCCACTCTCGGTGGATGGTTCCGCAGACACCAAAATAGGTCGGGCTTGGATGACCCTGTTATGGCGCCTCCCGATGAAGCTGATCTAAGCAGCACCGAACCCGCCACGCCGGATGACAGCGCGGGTGACGCGATGCCCCCAACCGAAAGCCTCAACCCGTGAGGTTTCTTTCTGGTCAGGCGATGCGCCTTGGTGGATGAGAAAGCCTCACTGACAAAGATGGAGAAGGCAATTGCAGGCCAACGTGAGGCATGGTAATGCTCTGGTCTCAAACACGGACAGGGCAGGTCGGACTCGAAACAGGTACAGCACATGCCCTACCCTGCCTGGAGCACCCGGCTCCCAAATTCCGCGCCCGTCGTTTTTAAACGCATAGCCATTTGCTGCCCGCAGTTCTGCCACGAGTGATGGTGGGCCCGCCCAGGCTTTGCCAGACTCAGCACACCGTGCAGCGTCGGTCGGTCAGCGTGTTGGCATATGGCGCAGTACGTGCTGGAGATGGACGTCTGCAATCAAGTACTGGCGGTCTAGGTAGATTTTTTCGCCTGCAATGAGAACTGAAGCGTCTTGTGAAGAAGACGACTGTTTTAATAAAACGAAATGGGACCAGTGGGCGTGTATGGCAATGCCTTGCAGCGGCCACAGATTGAGGTAGCACGAGGTACCTTGCAAGCGGGCCGCCGCTGGATTTGGCACCCTGAAGCGTAATCGTGCTATGCCTCGACCGCCCTGGTCGGCACCACCGCCTTCTGAGGAATGCGAGCTCGCCCAACACTACCACCCGCTCAGCTTCCGTCGAGCTTACCACTCTTCACTCGTGTGCGTGTTTGTGAGTAGACTGTATTGTTGCTGCGATAGTATTGTCTGGTTCACCCAGCCGTTCATCCTCCTCTGCGTGTCAACCAATCGTTTCAGCACCGTACCTTGATATCCGTGCACGCTTGCTCGCTGGATTCCGGGCGCGCTATGACAGTGACAGTCTGACCTGTCTGACGGTCCTCCGAGAGCGCCCTTTGTTCGTTCCTTCGTCCTCCTCGAACCTACCAACGCCTTACCCAAACACCAGAGACCTTTGCGACGGGCCTCTGCCTCGAACCCGGAAGCACTGCTTGTTCTCCGCTCAGTGCCTGGGTGCTCTCTCCATGCATTGCTTCTCCTAGCAACATTCGGGTGCGAGCTTCACGCCTGTTCCACCTCTCTTCACAAGATAGACGGCGAGTGATAGCAACATGGCAACCTCGATGCTTTCCTCGGGCGGCATTGCCCTTGTCGGGGCTCCGGATAGCGACGCCGGACTTAAGGACGGCAAACAACCGCCTGTGCAGGCCATGCAGGTGGACATTACCCAAGACATTGTCGACGAGCTCCTAGAAAGCGTCAGGAGCGGGAAATCGCCGCAGATTATCTTTGGACGGACTCCTGTATGTGTGCACAGTTGCTGCCATGCTTCCCGTCATGCGTGGTTCGACTTGGGGGTTGGGAAAGGCGCGAGCTGGGCTAATCACAACAACAGCAACTAAAGTACGGCGACAAGACGCACATGCTGCAGAGCAGCACCGAACTCCACCGATACGAACTGTACAAGTCCAGCGGGACTGGTAGCGACGACAGCCTCGAGTTTGCTGGTTTGATCAACCATAGCCTCCTGGTACACAAGGCCGAAGATGTGACGGCAGGCGTAGACTCGGCGCTGGAGCAGCTCAGGAGTAACATGGCAGCGATATCAGAGTTCAAGGAAGCCAACAAGTATGCCTCCCCGGTATTCCCATGGCTGCCCACGCTCTTTGACATCACGTCGAAACACTCGAGCACCCCTGTCGCAGATGCATGTCGTGATGAGACAAAGTTGTGTATACCAGGACTGACAAAGATTGCTGCAGGACTATTGTTGGCGACGCTGCTCCCGGCCGCACACCAGCCCATCGTCGCTTCCCTTCGACGGGCTTCAAGGCACACCTCGGTCCTTCCATGATGGGCTCGCCCCTGCTCAGCGCTCCTTCCTCGCCCATGCACAAGCGCCCACCCACGTCGCAGCCGAGCACCAGCCACGACACCATTGTCAGCGCCCTGAGGGTCCCCATCATCCCCCTCCTGGCTCGCGAGCCAGCCACCGAAGCTTCTCTCGCCGCCACCTGCCGTACCTCCTTGGCCATCATACGGGATGTCTTGCCCAAAATAGCCAAACGCTCCACGGCCGATGCCGACAAGTGGCAGCTGACAGACAAGTCTTTCCGCGAGGTGAACCCCTTCAAGTTCCCCTACCAGAGCCCCGAGGACCGCCAGCAAGCCATTGATGGCGCAATCAAATCCTTTGACCGCCAACGCCTGGCCAAGGACGACAAACTCTGGCAGATTCTGCTACCTCGAGACCAGCGAGGCCAGGGCATATGCCTGTCGCGTTCAACAGTCAAGGCCCCAGAAGCCAAGCCCAAGGCCAAAGCAAGCACTCCCATGCACAAGATCTCGGACCTTACCAAGAAGAAGCCCGTTGCAAAGAAGGCTGCTGATAAACCTGCGGTCGAGAAGAAGCCCAAGGTCGCAAAGGAGCCAGAGATCAAGCCCAAGTCGTCCATCAAGGAGAAGTACTTGGCTCGGGAGAAAGAGAAGGAGAAAGAGAAACAAAAGGCCGTGGTGAATGTGAAAGAAGTGAAGGAGGCGCCCACGGCTACCGCTCCAACCGCTTCTGCACCTTCAAGCTCAACACCTCGCCCTGTCGCACCTTCCAAGCCCAGTATGCCTGGTACTGACGCTCCAGAAATCCGCACCAAGAAAGTACCTGCTCCTGAAGGCAACTCCAACCCGCGTGCGAAGCCCAAGATGTCTGGCCGCGAGTCACAGAGGGACCGTCCTACCAACAGGCCCTTCAAGCCTACCATGCCAATCAACACCAAACCGAAGAATCCTTCACCGCTTTCCGCCTCACCGCCTGTAAATGCCAGCGACTTTGAGGACTCACACCCAGTTCACAAAGCTCTTGCTGCCGCTCCGTCGCCCGCCAAAACCGCTGCTGGCAACTCGGATAGCTCGCTCAAGCGCAAGGCCAACAACATCGACAGTGATATCCACAATCACCTCGCCGTAAAGAAGCAGCATGTCGACCGTTCGACTGCAACCCACACACCCTCGCATGCCAACAGCAAAGCCACTGGCTCTACGCCTTCTAGTACCAGCTCCGTGAAGCGCAAGTCGGACGATTCATCCTCGTCCAACACCCCCTCTACCGCGTCCAAGGTCCGCAAGGTTGCCAACATCGACACCGGCCTTGCTTCGCGCTACCACCACAATAACCCTCGCGCATCTCCAGGCGCTTCATCAACCTCGACTACCTCACCCTCGATGCCCAGCTTGAGTTTCCGCCAAACTGTCGAGCTTTCGCAGAAGTTCCAGAAGTACTACAAGAGATACGAAGAGCTGTACTGGAAGCTGACTGAAGCGGAGAAGCCGCCAACTGAAGCACAGAGGAACGACCTCCTAAAGATGCATAAGAAGCTTGAAGAGATGAAGAAAGAAATCAAGGCTGGTGCCGGCGTGCACCGATGAAGACTCACGCCACCCTGTCGTCTACGACACTGCGCCTAGTGCGCGCATGATTTACCACAGTACAGCTTGCATATATACCCACGGCCTACCAGTCCCATGAGAATGGCGGCGATTTGCATACCCAAAAAGGCGTTTCGGATTTTTTCTATCAACGGCGTTTGTGCGGCAAGACTTGTGAAGGATGCATTGGGGATATGGTGTCTTGCATAGTTATTTCTCTTTCTACGTCTATCAATACGTATGGATCGTTACGATCGCTCGCTACATTCACGACCGCGATGAGTTTTTAATGCCGTTGTTCACGTAAAAAAAAATTGTTTACAACCTTCGCATCAGTAAAGCATCTGAATCTTGAGTACTCACGAATCAATGCTGTCTTACACAATCCACCAGATGTCTTCTAATATTACGTGAACTTCCAAATGCACATTGCCACCATGACCCACTGGCGACCACGAGTGCTGACGAAACCTCACTAGCGCCAGACGCTTCGTATTTGATCAAAGGGCCGCAACCTGCAGAAAAGTTCCGCCTAACATTTCAAGACATGTAGGAATAATTACTGCAATAGACTCGACACTCCCACCGATCCTCGCAGTCGCATCATAGAGTCTAGATCAGCGCATTGCCGATCGCGCCCCTCCGAGGCCCGCAACCCGGCAAACCTATGCGGCGGCTACCATGGTGTAACAGCCGATCGGGCAACCACATGGCTGGGGATCTGCGGCAGCTGCACCCCTGGCAAACGTCATCCATCCAGCCCTACGCGCTAAATCTCCGCTTTAGCACCTTCTTGACGCCATCTTGAGCACCACATTTTACGAACCATAAACGTATAACCTACGTTTGCTCTCCTTCTCCCTCATGCGGATCCTACGCAATCTAATTAGCAATTTCACACGTAACGCTCCAAAACGCGACTTTGCTCACGTTCACGACGTGCAGATCAAGTGGGAAAGAGTACCGGCACAGAACGGGAAAAAGCAAGAGCAAGAAGCTGGCAATATGTCTTTGAACGGTATGTACATGTTGTGATTGAGTATTGGGGGGGAAACCATGTATCAGAACTGTGCATTGGGCATTTCAGATGTTTCGAGTCCAAACGGTTACACCATGGCTGCATCCTGTTCATTTGCATGAAACAGTTTCGTCGTTGGACTGGAGAGATCTCCAGGCACGCGTTTCAGCACCCCCAACGTCACGTCGTTTATGCAGTGCTATGAGAGAAGCTGGGGGGGGGGGTTGTTTGCGACCTCTACGATGAACGCATCTTTGTTGCTGCGAATTGCAAGGACCCAGTTCCACAAACTCACTCACTAACGCTTTACACTAGTTTTCAAGCAACCCCTCGCGCTTCACTCCACACAGCCTTTGACCGGATTCACCCGCTCAGGCTATTGTGAGGTACCCGCATCAGATGCTGGCAACCACGCCATAGCAGGTATCGTGTCAAAAGAGTTCCTCGACTTCTCTGCCGCACGTGGCAACGACTTGCGTCAAGTAGGACTTACGGATGGCTGCAAATGGTGCCTTTGTGTGAACAGGTGGAAAGAGGCTTTTGATGCTAGGACGGGCATGGATGACAAGAAGGTTCCCAAGGTTGTCATGAAAGCGACGAATGAGAAGGCGCTGAAAGGGGTGAGTATGGATGATTTGAAAGCTTTTGCTGTGGACAAGGAGTAGGGTAGGATGGAATTTGTCTAGCAGTCACTCCCTCATTCTATCGAACACGACGGATCAATTACAGATCCAGACGTAATTACGTGTCCTATGCTTGCACAGTCTCCTGTTCGTGTCACTCTCTCTCAATGACTTCCGTCCAGTCATCGAGTGACTTGCTTAAATACTCCAGATGCGTCTCTGGCATTTCCATCAGCAGCTCTGCATGCGTCAGTTCGCCAAGCCAGGCCATGATAGCGACTTTTTCTTTGCTACGAATATCTCTTTGTGTATCGTCGGGACCAGCAGTATTCGTGTGGGTGGTGTTGATGGTAGTAGTATTTTCAGAGGTTGTGTTGATCCTGGTAACTGTCATGGAGATACTGTCGGAAGCGTTCACGGGGGCATGGTTGGCGACAATAGCGTTGATGGTGAAAAACGCATTCTCATGATTTTTCCCCCATAACCTGACTCCGGCGTAGTAGATTTTGGCTGACACCCTGCAGGCCTTGGTATTGGAACGTCTTTCACAGATATAGTAGAGGTCGTCCCTGAAGCGGACGTCGATTTTCTTACGGGCTTCCTAAGAACATTATTAGTCATATATCCAGGAAATTAAGACAATGAAAGCAGGCATGGAAAGATTGGGGAAACCCTACATGACTGAGCCGATGCTGAAGCTGAAAGTTCCCATACGCGAAATCATGGCGTATACAAGCTGGTTTGACTGAGTTTCAGTATGTTAGTCTGTTTTTTTTTTTTACCTCATATAATTCCGACTCAGGATTAAAAGCACAACTTACAGTCCCAGCCAAACGGCGAATCATCGACACCAGTACAGGCGTCACTCCACCAGCTTAGATTAGTATATCCGTACTCTCCCACACGTCTCTTCCACATGACCATGAAATCATCGAGGGAGTAATTAAAGACCTAAAAATTTTCATCGTGAAAAGTTAGTCTGCACTTGACGTATAATATGTTTATGAACGCAACATACCATGCGGTTTACTATTTGTTGTTCCCATGTGTGGGGTTCGAAGTTCTTATGCAAGTCTGCTATGCGGTCGGCTTTGCTTTCTTTGTGGGCGCCTACGCAAGGAAGGACGTAGCCTGTGAGTGCGAGGGGGTTGAGGAAGAAGGTCAGCAGCCTCATAATTGGTAGTGAAAAGGTAGGAATGAAGAGGAACGATGGGATTCGGAAATTTAAAAGAGTTCAAAACTATTCCAAGGGTCAGTAGAACCCAGTAATACCTTTTGCGCCAGTTAGGAAACGCCCATCGCTAATGCTTAAGAAGATGACAAAAGAACGGTCCCAACAATATTACAATCCAAGAATCATGCCTAACATGACGACTCCATAGCCCCAATTAGCTAGTCACCTTCTTTGCCATGCACCACATCTCATACTCAGCCGACCAACAGACCCTTGACTCCACTACCGACCCAAACCAAACTTCTCGCAGCGAGCAGGCCAGGCCCAGCATAGGCAGGCGGACCAATTCCCTTGAGTCCACCAATCCCTCTAATTTCCATGTCCCCAGCAACAGGAACATTAGTCCTACCCTTTTGTAGAATGGCGAATCGGAGGAGCACTTCCAGACACGTTATGCAGATACTCAGCACAATGAGCGCAATGACAATCCACGTGATCTTGGTCATCTTTTTATCGCTAATGGAATCAGATAGTATCTCGCCCAGATCAAGGAAGACCTGGCAGCGCTCGTTGAGAACTTGGATACGGGGTTTGATCTCGAGGTATTCGCGCACAGCGGTATATAGCGGATGAAGGGTAGGCTCCGAGTCCCAGAAGAAGCTTGGAGTGTCGAGCATATTCGATGCTACAAGGGTCATTAGTAACGGATGGGGGTTGAAATAGTGGACTGGATACGTACATAGGTTCACTTCCACACGGCTGGTGAAGAGCTGTCCAATCATCTTGACCACATCTGTCCTGCCCATGCCCAGTTTGCCCGTCAACGCTAAGCGTTTGGGTACGTATTGCGCAGCCAGCATGGTCCGGCTCATACCCTCCTCGAAGAGACTTAGCTTGGTGCTCTGTGCAATAGCGTGGCTCATGGCTAGCTTGATCATATGATCCCCGCTCTTGAGCGTAATCATGTCGTTGTACACACGCGGGCGCTGAATTTCTGGGTTGTATTCAAAATGGAACTCTTCAGTCTCAAAGTCGGACTCGGTCAAGGGTCGTGTTGCAATGGTGATGCCGGTAGCAATAGCGGAAAATGTAAGGTCGGCCAGAATGTCCTTTTCCTGCTTCTCGGTGAAGTTCCAAAAGACTACGACGCCGTACGAGAAGACGAACATCTCGCCAAAGGTCAGGGCGTTGGGCGCAATTCTGGAATTCTCGGTCGAGTCTCGGCGATCGTGGGTGCCGTCCCAGGGTTGGTCGAGCTCGTGGTCGTCGCGTACGTAGTAGGTCTCCTCGTCGCCAAAGTAGCCTTCGTGGTGGTCGCGCTGCTCGTTGCGCTCGATCTCTTCGTCGAGCACCGTCTTTCCACCCGGGCTCTTGAGCGCAGGGCTACTGCGGACCCGGTAGCCGTCGCTGCCGGGCAACAGCGGGAGATGGTAGACGGTGTAGAGACAGTCATCGTACAGCTTGGTGCGGGCATTGTGTGTGTCCTTTACGAATTGGGCGGTGCTCTTCATCTTGTAGGCTTGGGCGGTGCAGTAGGCGGTGACGCGCGAGAGCTTGTCCGTCCGCTTGGCCTTGGGCAGACGCTCTGCATAGCTCTTGTCGTTGGGACCGCCTTTGGGGGTCCGTCGCGCAAGGTCTTCGTCTGTGGGCGGGCCTTCGTATTCGTCTTCGTCAAAGTCGCCCTTCTCGTCGTCCTCCTGTCCTGCTGTCTCGGGCAGAAGCACGAGTTTTTCGCTGAGCTTGCTCGACCGGGTGGGCATGTGCTGGGGTATCAGGCGACCGGAGAGTCTGGGATCGAGCGGATGCCGTCCGCTGGGAGTGCGCGTATGCATCATGGGTCGGCTGCCACTGCCAGGCGGGCCGCGTCGCTGCTGTTGTGAGGGAATGTCCGAGGCGTACTGCAGGATGTTGTCGACCGAGATCAATCGCGCGCCCGTCGCCTGTCTCTGCCCCACGCCTGGTCGTTGGGGTGCTCGAGGTGCCGTGTCGCGGGCATCTGTCATGAGCACAGTCGGCCCTCTCTTGCTCTTAGCTGTTGGTCCGCTCATTTTGCTGGCTGCTGCAATCCACTCCGCTAGTGGCCGTAGTTGAACGAGAGGTTGGCACCGCCAATGTCGCAGTCACGAGCTATTGAGAACCGGGAGACGCTGATCGTGGATGCTCGGCAAAGTGATTGGATAGGGATGCGACAAACTGCGACTGTTGCGGCGCGTCCTTGGCCGATGATGGACGTAGAGATACAATTCCATCTGGTCAAACCCGGCCGCGGTTCACGTCATTGCGCCTTGGCGTGCATGCAGCCTTGCAGCTCCACTCCACATGCCAACGGCTCGCCAAACATCTTGCGCTTGACTACTTTCACATGTCATCTGGGCATTGCTGAAGAATACCATCATATATTGGGTGCTCTATCTCGATTGACACTCGCTGTTGGATGTGTCATCATGAACGCCCCAACACCATGCTCCAGACTGAGAACAGCCTTCCATAACCAGAACATGCTCAATTCAAGATTTGGTTCAAAAACAAAAGAAAATCCTGCTGTAGGTCGTACGGCGACGAAGCGAGGGGGTATCTTCTCCATGTCCCCGCTGGTCCTTGAATTACCTCCGCGCTTCTCCTTCCGCCGCCTCCGGGACTGATCCCATTTTGTGCAGCTGAAAACGCCAGAAAAATAAACAAACATTACATCGGATACCACAAAAAGACCGTGTAACCGCCTTGAATCACAGGCGCTTACCGGGAACGAAGATGAAGAGGCAGCAAATAGCTACTGTGACGGCCAAGAACATAACCAGGACAGTGAGCGAGCGCCTGTTCAATGTCTTCTTGACAAACGGCTCCCTAATCTTGTTGAAGTCGAAGAAGGTGTACTCGCTGTATCCGGCAATGGCGATGATGGGGTCGAGCATGTACTGATGTGTGAAGATGAGATAGATAGCGATGGTGAATGGAAGTATGATCTGCACACAGCGTTAGTTGACATTCCTAACAAAACAGCGGGGGACTGCATACCCAGCAGCGTGTTCCTCTTGACTTGTCCAAGAAGATGAGAATGAACGAGGTCCACACAGCGGCGAAGAAGCTGATCAAACCTAGGATAAGACGCAGCATCATACTCTGGGGAACGAGGTTGCCGAGGCCCTTGTTCTGTAGGAAACCTGGATATGCGTCGCGCTCCATGGCTTGAAAGACGTAGTCTTTGGCATTATCGAAAAGCTCGGGATCGGCGCGCTGCTCCTGTCCCTCAATGGCTTCTTGTACCTCGGCGAGTATGCTCTGGGGAATGATGATTTCTCTCTCTGAGCCAGGAAGCAGATAGGTGTACAAGATCTTCTCGGCCGATGCGCGCAAATCCTCTCTCCGTGGTTGTGAATTATCAATGGATGAGTTCTGGCCAGGCGAGCTCGAATCGCCTGGGGTATCTAGTATATTCAGGCTTGGACGGGGGAACTCGCGGCTCTGATTGCTACCCTGACTGTTCTGTGGAGAGTGGTTTCGGCTTGGGTGGTCAGAACGAAGAAAGGCAGACAAGCGCTGGTCAGACATGTTGTCTGCTTTCTCGTTAGAGGGGCCTTCTCCAGCGTTGTCCAATATGTAGGACGAACGCTTGGAATTCCTCTCAAGATCTGGTGTCTCCTCAATCATACTCCTGTGTAGTCGTCGCACATAGAGCCGACACAGCTGCAGGTGTTGCGATACATCGAGCCTGATGGTTGTTAGCCTCATCCGCTGACCCGGACGCCGAGTGGTTGGCTTACCAGAAGTCCAAGTAGTCGACAGACCGTTGCTGGTCTCGCATGTAGATGTAGAAGGAGAAGAGGTCTAGCGGTGCTGTCGTCTTACGACTGAGCACTTCGAACAGCGTTGGGAAACGGTTGCGCGTTTGCCCGGGTTGGTACTGGGCATCGTGGTGGTCCTCGTAAGACATGATTGCTGTCGGCCCGGGGATGTACTATGGTAACGAGAGGCGCGCGACAATGGTCGCTGTGACGTGAATAGTGGCAGTTATCGATAGATGCAGGGTCTGGCGTAGGGCTGGCGCCCGGCGTGCCGGCGAGTGTTTGCTTGACTAGTGTTGTGGTTGCTGAGCGAACGACGGGGAGCTTGACGGTCGGGCTGGTCGGAGCTCCAGGGACGACGTGGGAGTTGGAGAGAAGCAGGCGACGACGAGTATGGCTGTGGGGGAGAGGTGTGTTCTGGGCGTCGCGTGCGCCTCGACGTGTTGTCCGAATTGGCGTGAAGGCGGGAAATTAGGAGTGAGGTCGGCACCTCTAGCTTGGCGCGACGGTTGGTGGAGCGAGCGGCAGTGGCTTGCGATGGAGTTGAGTCGCGCACTGCACGATGGGGGGTGACGATAAGAAGCAACAAGTCACATGAAACTGCCGTCGGCTACCTATGCGCGTCCGAGTCGTTCCGATGAGCCCGTGGATCAATTGTGCGTGTTGCTGATGATGATGATGATGATGGTGATGGGGCGTGAATGATGCAGTCCGTGTTCCTGAAACGCGAGGCAGGTCGAGAAGGGCCGCGACTGCCATCTTCACGTGATGATCCCTGCCACACCATCACTCACCAACAGCCTCAAATGGCAACTGTTGAGGACGATGATGAACGGAACTTGGAGGGCGCTCTCGGAAAGTAGACAGTCGCGTCTGCCATCGTAACTCAATGCGCTTGTACAAGCCATGGACTTCCTTTTGGCGATCATCATCTTTCAAGTCCAGTAGAGGGATCTGTGGACGTTTGAAGCTACTGCTTGCTTCTGCGAGTGCCACCAGTGTATAAGACGAGCAGTCCTGTACAGGAAATCTCACATGATCTTGCTGGACATGTCCAACAAGAGTCACAGACAGCACAGCAGCCACTTGATGTCCACATGAGGCGAAGCCACCCCAAGGCAGCAGCCTTAGGAGGCTTTGACCGGTTTCACAGCCCGGCACAACCTTTACATAGCCGCAAGCACTGCACTTGATTTTGATAAATGTTTCCTTTGCGCGCGATTCGAAGTTTCACTACACGAATAATGCCAACAATGGCAGCTAACAAAGTATTGCCTGCAGGCTTCAAAGAGGATCTTCTTCGCCCTCAGAAACGTCGAGAACCCGTCGAGTCCAGCCCTGCCCCTTCCACGTTCGCCCTCCCCAATGGATTTCTCGAGGGCCCAGCGCCCAATTTAACCAAGTCCAAAATTGATTTCAGGAAGGCTGGAATACTAGAGAACGAGAATGCATGGGCCGTCATACTTGATGGTGTTCTGTCTGAGGACGAGTGCAACACCTTGATACAAGCAGCAGAAGCGACTACTAACGGCACGTGGGAGAGAGCCATGGTGAACATTGGGGGCGGAATGCAAGCCATGTATGAAGACACGAGAAAGTGCGGTCGGATCATTTGGGACAACAAGGACATTATGGCCAAGTTATGGCAAAGAATAGAGGCGTCGGTGCCTGAAATCCATCGCTTGCAGAATTGGGCGCTTGTCACAGGCAATGGTCCAGCGAAACGAGGAGAGACTTGGAAAGTAACGAGACTGAATGAGCGTGGACGCTATCTCAAGTACACTGGTGGAGAGTATTTCAAAGGTACGTTTTGCATTGGATTCTAAGATTGTAGCTACTAACTGAGTCAGCGCATTGTGATGGCACGTACGAGACACCAGACCGCACCGAGCGCTCATATTTCACCCTGCACCTTTACCTGAACGATGCAGTACTGAGCACTGGGGAAAGGCAGCTCCAAGGCGGCGCCACTACATTCTTCAACGGTCGCATGAACCAACGTATCGACGTTGAGCCAAAGGCTGGGCGCGTCTTGCTCTTCCAGCATCGCTACCTTATACATTCCGGTGACGACGTTGTGAAGGGCACCAAGTATACGCTACGGACGGACATCATGTACGCGATGGAGAAAGACACAGCATCAGAGCCAGAGTAGACAATTCTAGCGGAGGATGAATGGAGGATCGCGCAACGTGTGGTCGCTCAGGTTTGGTGAATTCGCATGGTTTTTTGTTAGTAGTATCCTTGAACTGGAGTAGATCGCGCACATTTGCGCACTTACATAGTGAAAAAAAAAAGTGAACGGCCTGCCTCGCCAGAGTAATCAGAATCGAATGATACCGTGCCCTCTTTCGCCCAAGGGCTACTCAAGGTCGAGTACGCTGCGTATTGTACTACAGTGTCACCTCTCTCCCAAAGGATCAAAGCACACAATCTTCGCACCGACTCCCATAGGGACACCAGTTCCACAACACTCCCACCGAAGTGGGAGCGCGCTTTCTGGGCCCTGAGTTTTCTGATGCCGGATGCAGACGTGAGTCACGCCAGGCTCTTACGAGCAGTACAGCCACAAAAGGGCTTGATGATAGTGAAGATTACTCCGAATTTCTCATTTGCAGGGTAGGACGAGCTCCGTGAGGAGAGTCTGTATGTGTGCAAAGAAACGCAGCGTTGGCAAGGCAGGCCGTTGCAGAAGCAAGAAACATTTTTGGAGGGGTTTTGTAGCTCGCGCGCCGGCGCGCTAGCGTCGGCTAAAACTGCGCCCGTGACGCCAATCCACGTGGGACCCGTCCATCTTCTCGAGTGCTTGCCGCACTCATCTTGTCCTTCGCGTTACCTGTCGTGTTCTCACCTACTGTCTAGAGGTACCGGGAGCAACATCTGCTTGGACTCACGAAGTGGCTATGGCGCCTTCGATGACTGAGTTGATTGCTCGCGATGCATTCCAGAGGGCAGTCCTCCTTTAACCAAGATTTACCAATCACTGATGCATTACCGATCGTCAGGTCTCAGTTCATTCATGTTGTGATCATGCTGTGAAGTGATTACGCTTTGCATTTCACACGACTGTCTGCTTCGCTATTCGATATATCTGGCCTCCTTGTATTCTCTCCTTTAAATATTCATATTCTTCTACACGTTACCATTACGCAACTGTATTACGACTCCCGTCTCCCTAAGGCCTTCAACGAAGTTTCGACCAGTTCCTCAGACCAGAGCAATCATGTTCACCAAGATCTTCGCTGTCTCGAGAACCACTTTCCTCATGTTTAATGTCGTTCGCGCTAGCGACCAGGATAAGTTCAACGACAACAAATGCATTTGGTGTACGTACTACTTGGTAATGCAATATGATACATATGCTAACTCGCCTAGGCTGGGGCCCATACGACGAAGACCATCCTGCTGCTCGCGTGCGGACTTGCGGCCACGTATTCGGACGCGACTGTCTCCCAGATATAACCAAGGGCCCGACCGGTGATCTTTGTCCTATCTGTCGATCTCCATGGTTCCGGACCGATACTCTGCCTCTCATGTTACAATTCCTCAATCGCTTCTTTGTGAACCCCTTAGTGGATTTGTTAACTCCGATCAGGCTCACCTTATACAAGATCGAAGCTAAACTTCCGCCTTGGGCCCTGTCCATAGGACGCTTTTTATTCTACGCAGGCAATGTGTATCACCAAATCGACTACATGATCCGAGCTCTCACCGGCCTATATGCAAGGAACCCAGGTTTGCGTTCCTTTACCATGTCTCCGGTGATACGACATGAAAAGTGGGACAGGTTCTTGATTCTCACTTGCTCCTACCTTGCGACTCGAACAACAAAACCAACCGCGATTAATATAGGTGCGGCTTCCCTGAGCTTACACGAGGAAGTTCTGGTATGTGCAGTAACGTCGATCATGTTCAAAGTCTACATTCTATTGAAGCACGGCGCACACCGTCAGCTCAAAAGTCGGCGGGATTGTGCTATCTTCGGATTGATCACGGGTCTGATTTTGACGCTCCATTGGTTAGCAGCTTCCATGGTATTCAAGATTGTTATTGAGAACCACCAACAAGCTGGAAACCGTAGGGTAGAAAATCTCGAAGTCGGTAGAGACCTATGAGTCGGTGGAAAATCTGGACTTGGAGATAATTTTGGGAGACACCGATAGAAAGCTATTGAATAGTGAAATGGCACGAAACAAGTCTGATATCTGCAGTAAAGCAGCAGACGGGTATACTTGTCGGATGGAGCATGTGGGTTTATACTGATCAGGTGTCTTTTCGAGCATCTCACGGCATCGACTTATCACACATGCACTTTCACGAAGCGATTGGTTTCCATTATGGTTCGTGCTTAAGAGCAAGAATCCTAGACAGATTTCCTATGTACTGTATTCTAGATCGCTCTCGCAAGTTGCGTCGACTATCTTTCAGGTCTACTCTGGTATGACTCAAAGAATGGATATTGTTGTGTTCATCATACTAATAAGCCATTCCGTGGCTGTACTTCCAACCACATCTCGCAGTTCCACTCACTCATCAACCAAGTTTCGCATGTGGTACACTTTTCATTCGTCCGATTCGAAAGACTGGTTGCGCGGTACCGAACCTCTCCAGTGCTATACCACGCTCTTGTCTACCCACCATTTACTTAGCCTCGCCGCACAACTTAAATTCTATATTTTCTCAGATCAATTGAATCTACTAGGTTTCCATCTCAAACCACATCATGCTTGAAACCATGCTCGGTCGTCGCGGTATCACGAAAGAAGAATTCCTTCAAACACGCATCCTCCTCGCAAAAGCCACCGACAAGTTTAACGATAACAAATGTTGCTACTGCTGGGAACCTTACAATGGCAGCAGCCACCCTGCCATACGCTTCCGACCCTGTGATCATATTGTGGGACGCCCATGCCTTTTCACAATCATCAACTCGCCCGGTGGTCATACCTGCCCCATCTGTCGGAGCGTTTTGTTTCAGCCACCACCAGCCGCTGTTGAAGACGAAGACACAACAGACTTCAAGAACTGGCTCCCTTGGGTCTTGATCGGTTCGGGGCTGTTTGCCTTCGCAACACTAGCATGGCGGGGGTCGACTGACAAAGGATGCTCAATTGAAAGAATCGGATCTGGAAAATGCTAGCCGAGCGCTCAAGACGCTTTGACGGTATATACCATAGACTGAGTGAATGGATTGCCTCTCACTATTCTTAGGACCTATTCCATAGCGGCTTCTCGCCACAGCTGTAGCGAGGCAAGCATGACACGCACACCAAGCGGAAACCCACAAACAACATCGATCTCGACTTCCACCGTCCTTTCCCAATTTCGTGCTTGCCATAGTGGCCGACACCTGCAATACCTCTTTTCGTGAGAGTAACCAAGGATGGAGTTATTTCAACAGCGCCGGTTCGTAGGGTGCTGAGCAGATTTAAGCATGCGCAGAATGCCCTTTTCGTAAGCCCATCATAGATTTGTGTAGACGTGTCTCCTCGAATGAACGCACATTGGTTTGAGAAATATGAACACTCGTCTTTGCATGCTCACTGGAAAGCGATACAGATGGCAATATAACACTATCCTACCACACCCTTGGCTGATTTTGCCGCGCAGGCATTACCTGAGCTCGAACACCGCTCTTGTTATCCCATCTTACCCAATTCATCCCCATCCTACCATTACTTTCACGATTTACTCCCCTCGCACGGTCATGAGCCACACCGTAACTTGATACTGCCGGCAGGCTATTCATCGGGAAGTCGGGAGCAACAGCCATCGTATTTGGATCAGGTGGCCCACTCGCTTGCCATTCAACCTTGATAGAGTTGTCTTTCGACAACTTGACGCCATTGTGCCATAGTTCGAAAGACACATCGGCGGCACCGAGGTTTACTTTGACGATGTAGTTGATGCGATGGTATTTCGGGCCGGAGTTCCACCAGTGTCGGTTCTTCAGTTTGAAGAGAGAAAGTGGGAGGGATGAGAAGTCCGACTCGATCTTGCAGATCGAACGACACGCTGGAATCATTAGTACGGCTCATCATATTGCATCAAGAGTGTATGTACCGTTGTTCATCACTATCGGAAGTTGAGATCTGTCGACCTCAGTACAAATCACCTCCGTAGGGTAGATCCTTGGCGGATTAGGATTCTTGGAAGTGGCTGGCGGGCATTTTCGTTGAAAGCTCTTGACTATCGGATGATCACTTGACACTGGTTCGCCCTAGGCTGATCAGCTTTCTGCCATCATTCCAGGCTATCAAAGGGCTTTACCTGCTTGATGAACCAGTCGATACAGTTCATGATATACGTTTTCTTGTCCAAAGGATCCACTTCGGTCTTGCTTCCTTGATGCGTGGGGTCGTAAGGATCGTACAATATCTTACACATAGTACCGTAAGATGCGCGGCTGCATCGCCATCCAAGAACCGACTGTCCAGTCTTGAGTTTCTGAACGCGATCGGCCACGTTGCCCTTGCAGACAACTAGTTGAGGATCAGGAGCAATGCGGATCTGCATATTGTGTGCATTAGAATGTGGTGTATGACCAGATGCGTATCGGCTTCGTAAACAATGTTGGACGTAGGCAGAGTTACCGAGACCCCCACTGAGGACGAGATGAGACACTTGTTCGGTCGGATGTTTCTGTCGGACACGAGAGAGCTGTTTGTCCATCATGTCAAACAGTTTCGATACCTGAGTGTCGAAAAACCCTTTCAAATCGTCTCTTTGAAAGTACATGTCTCCGTCGCTGATGGCATAATCCCGGTTTACGTAACCTCTGTCGAGCTTAGGTATACGGACTGCGAAAGTCTCGGTGTCCATTAAAGACTCCTCCGAACCATAGTCGCACTTCGCGTTCTGGTATTCCTTCGAGATTCGCATCTCCCATGCAGCTTGATTGATATCAGTTAGTCCCATTGGTTGCAGGCGGTCTGCATGCTCAAGTCGCTGCAGCACCTCTTTCTCGAATAAACTGTCGAGTTGCGCAGCTCCGATAGTCGCTCCGAAAACTACATCGATCTGCTCAAGACTGAGAGAGCTACCGTGTATATTCTTCACGCGAAAGACTGATAGATCTGTTGTACCTCCACCTACGTCGCACACGAAGAGTATCTCGTTCTCCTTGAAGATACCTGGCATGCTGCGCGCTGTGTGTACTGCAGCCGCCTCTGCTTCTGTCAGCCCAATCGATGCTGTGTGGTTGGCGCACGAGCCGAATCCAGCCGCCGAGATTGTCTTCCTGAATCGCTCTACAGTTGGTATCGGCTTCCAAGTCGTGGGTACCGAGAAGATGAACTCTATGTTCGCGTCTTCCCATCGGCTCGCGAGCTCCCCTCGTAGTCGTGCTTCAATGGTACGGTATAGGTATCGGAAGTAATCAGTGTACCTGTGAGCTTGATCAGCCGATTACAAAGGCAAATTCGAACGACTTACTCACCATTTCTCTACTTCATGTATGTGTGGTACTTTGTTCGGCTCACTGGACTTTCTCCGCATCTGTTCCAGTAGGCCCTCGTCCAGCATAATCTTGAACCACTCCCGACTCTCGTACCCAGCACCACTAGCCTCCTGTGCGGTTTCGGCTAGAAAGCCCCATGATGACGGTGTTGCTGAGTCTTGTGGGTATACGAGCAATGTTGGCACCTGGAATGAGTAAGTTGAGGTCCTTTGGCGTGCGATCGGTTCCTTACTTTGTTCTCGTTTGCCTGTGTCCTTCCTGGCCACCGTTGAATATGCCGAACACTATCAGATCCAGTCGCTACATTACAATACGCAACACCAGTACCTGATAGCGATATGAGTATTGCGATAACGGCAACCGACAAGCCTTTACTCACATGTCATCCCAAAATCAATGGAAACAACCAGATCTGGCCGGGAATGGAATCCTTCCATGGTGAATGTGTGTGTTGTGAGAATGATTGATGGTGAGTTTTTGACCGTATCCCACTGGGGTTGTGTTTGTGCAGTTTCTGAGTTAAACAATGGTCATTCTGAGAATATGTAAATTCTGGATATCGAAGATCTGTGAGGCTGAGATGCGATAGATCTTTATCTTTGTCTCCGGACGCGAAGACCATGTTTCCAGCTCAGCCTCGCGCTTCAACTCAGCCCACAAGTCGATACCGATCTGGAAAATCATAGCGTGGGGCCCGCTTTGATGCGGCGTCGTATGTGGTGGTGTTGCACGAATTTTGTTTGGCGCGATAGAATGAGACGCTGCTGGAGTACGCCACATTACCTCGTACCGATGACCATTCGATAGTCCTACGTTCGGACCCCACTTCATGCAGCTCGACGCTGGGTTGCTGGTTTCTGCCTCGTCAACATTTACCAATTCCGGCGAAAACCAATATCATCGGGTTCTGTAGTCTGCCGCGCTATAGTACAGCTGAAGCGTGTATATCTCTGACCAGGCTGTGCTAGCGAGCATCGGTACAGACGCCTTATAGCGCAGCATCGCAAATTTGGTCGGCAGCAGTGTCAGTATTTTTGCTCCTCTATCATTTCCAGAAGTCTGATATCGGTGTATCTTCAGAGTGCAGTTTTGCAAAAACAGAAAACGATGAGCTCACCAGCGCTGTCGAGCGCATCACTTTCGTCAAACCAAGCTGGAGGGGCAGTATCATCGACACCGCTTGCAACAGAGCTATCCACGGCGCCAACAACAGCAATTACCCCCTCGTCTGCGTCGATAACTCCTGCAGTCTCGCAAACCTCAAACCCAAGTGTGATCACATCCAATTGTACAACGTTTTGGCCTGGCGGCGGCATCGAGGAGGTAAGATGTCCTACGGGTACGACCACGACGTCAGTTATACCCGCAAACAATGGTGCCTCGACGTTCAAGTCTGTGACTAGCCAGCCTTCGGTAAACGGCAGCACGGTGAATGGAGGTCCTACAGCGTCAGTTGGTCCGCTGCCGGCTCAGAAAGGGCTTTCTGGAGGTGCGGTTGCTGGGGTGGCTATCGCGATGTTACTCGTCGGATTGCTGATCGCTGGAGCTATATTCTTCTTCTTACTACGACGTCAAAAGAAGAAGCGGTACAATCTAGTCCAGACTCAGCCATCACCTCATGCGCCCGTAAATGATGCTACTAGAACGTTGGAGAAAGGACCAACAGCCGTAACCAGCGCGTATGCAACGAACATCGACGATATGCTACCCCAGCCCGTGGCAGATGACACTATCACAGACGCAGTCTTGAAGCTACGGGACAACATCAAGAACCACGTTCGCACCTATTATCATCTCTCTCCCATCTCGGCAGCCAGTGTCAGTCAGGCACATATGGGCCAACTAGCAACCGCAACCGGTACAAGCTCTGCTACACTTGCAAGCATGCTTTCGAGCACCTCAACCAGAGCCGAGACACTTCGCCTCATTCTTGCCTGGATTGTGCTATCGAGATGTACAGGAGGACGCGATGAGAGCCTGCTGCCCCGGGAACTTGCGGCAATCGACATGGTCATACCAGGAAAGGATGGCAGCAATACTGGTAAGTTTAATCTCAGCCTCACCAACTCGGTAAGGGAAGCTAAAGCCACGAATCAGCCCAATCAGCCATGTACAGCAAATGGAAAACCGTAACTGGAACTCTGCTGCATGAGCGAATTAGCCAGAATAAACAAGACTCGGATCGCAAGCAAAAATTTGCCATCGCGGTTGCAGATCTGGACTCTATTGTGGCGCCCTTTGTGCAGAGTGGCTTGGAAGCTCAACGCAGCAAGAATCTGGACATGATTCTGTCGCGATCTGCAAACTTCGCGTTCCTACTCTTTTCACAGCCCGGTTCATTCAAATTTGAGTTCTTGAGCGAACATGGAGGTTTGGTAGTATTTCCAGGCCTGGTACAAACGGCTGGAGACCAGGGGCAGGTGCTGGGGCCCCCGCGCGTGCTGCTGGAAAAGGAGATTGCGACATGAGCATCGTGAAGATGAAGCGAAGATGGCGTTTAGGGAATAGCTTGTGCAGTATCCAATGCGATGATCGTACGGCTGAGACGCCTTCGGGTTATTGCTAAGGGTCGTGAGCTGAGATGCTAGGTAGAGTGACGAGGCTGGGAGACGAGGTTAAGGTTTCCTTTTGCACTATGCTTCATATGTCTTAGCGTTGGTGCCACTGGCGGAAAGGAGCGTCATGTTCGCTCTCGTCCAATCTGCAAGCCTTCGCCTTGTGAGACACACAACAGTCACTCAGCCGTGCGATATAGATAGTTCGAAGAGCTTCGATCAGGCATTGGTCCGATAATATGACCGCTGAAGTAGCCGAACTATGTTTAGGGATGGGTGCATGACCAGAGCCTGTGGGAAGAAGCATCGAGCTGCTCATCGGGTCTCGAGGCACCGCAGCACAGCATGAGGGGTACCGCAATGCCCGCGTGCTTAGCCCTGCAGATTGAGGCTTTGTTGTATCGCTTACCCAATATTGGGGGTCTATGAGCCGCCCGCCGGCGCGCTGCCATATTCGTGGACTCGTAATTCACGACCTACGCCCCCGCAGGAGTATAGACATCAGCTGTCGGCAATGAGTTGACATTTTACCGCCATCTCCAGCCAAGGCCTCAAGGATGAACACAGCTATCGGTATGTATACAATACATTAGAGTGATGGAACATGTCGCGACGCAGTGCTTACTTTGTGATAGGTGCACCAACAAGATCCGCTAGTGTCAGCAAAGCGTTTAGGTTCGCTGACCTTGCGATACGTAACGCAGACGTTGGGAGCGAGAGTGAGGTCTTCTTGCGAACGATACGCATCGTTCGCGACGATCTCTTCGAAGTTGAGCGATTAGTGGCTGTTGGTTCGGTGCGGACAAAACTCGCCTATACGCCCGAGAGACTCCCTTGGATCAGAAGTGCTATCGAGAATACTACTTCTGCTTTGGAGGACATTGGAAAATGGGTGGATTGTGGCGACGTCGGACAACATCCTCATGTCTTGGACCAATCTCAAAGACTCCGATACATCCTCAACGACCGCGAACGATTAGGTGATCGCAAAAGCGAACTTGTGGCATGTCATCAGCAATTATCGAACGTTTTGAGCTTCCTCAATCGGCTAGAGGACTTACCGACCAGCCAGGATCTACCGACATACCAGAACACGACCTACTTTGATGACATCGTATCGAGACATCAAAGAGTGACCAGTGGGCATAAAATGGACACGGCAATTAAGATGACCACGGAAGATAAGTCCCAGACTGTCTGGTGCGATGCTGCTGATAAGACTGGGCCAACGAACAACACATCCCTCCTTACCGAAGCATTGTTCGCGCAAGATATATGGACCACAGATCCAGTAAAGTCGGCTTCGCATTTACTGAGCGATAAGAGGGAAACCAAGTCAGGCAACGCCACGTTGGGCTACAACACACTCAACAAGGGATACTCATCACCTCCAAGCCTACCAAACAGCCCGCCTCCTCTTTATACATCGGTAGGACAATATAGTCCTCCTTCGCAACCATCCCAAGGAGATACTAAGCAGTATCTCAACACCGATAGTCTGCGGTGCGTAAGTTCACAGCTGTCAATGGAGAAGTCGCATGATTACATGTCTACTACACCGTCAGGGCAAGTGGACACATGGGCCTACATACATCCGGACAGGCACCAAGCCCTTGCTGAACTGGCTGGCGATTACACCATGAGTGGAACAAACTCAGACGGACCTGTAAACCCTCATGCGTTTCACCTCGGGATATCAGCTCTAGCGCCAGGATCTACCGTCGTCCATGATCAGAAGGTTGAAACGCTATCAGAGTTATTAGGGGATATAAGCCTTGCTGTCGAGCTTCCTGGAAGTGAGCCAGCTCATGCACCAGGTCATATCGCGCGGTTGAGTCGGGATTTATCACAACTTCCTAGCCAGAGATCGCGTATGAGTCAGCATGCCAACAAGTATCAGCCATTACTCTCGGAGCTACCAGCTACCCCAACACGCAGACCTATAGTGTCGCACACGGTCAGCGAGCCCACCAACGTCCCCGTTGTCAATGAACTGTCAGTTCCGTCCTCAACATATGAGCTCGACTCTGGGCAGTTCCATACACACATGCCTATGAGTGGCCAACGTCGCCAGACAGCGACCATAAGACCTTGGTCTGTATCTGGTGTTTCTTCAGATCCTCGGCCGTCAACGCGCAGCACATCATCGTTAAATTTTCCACCACGCATCCCTCCAGCAACAGAGTTGTCGTGTACTGAGCATGATCGTCCAAGGTCATCACAGGCCACTCAGGCTACACAGGCCGTATACGCTAGCAACAATACCACATCAGCGCGGATGAGACGTCAAAAACATATGTTAGATCTGCTTGGCAGTATTGATAGATGAAAAAAAGTTGTACAAGTACGTTTGTTGGGGTAATTGGAAGTCTACTTGAACCGGAGGCCGTCTTCATGAGGCGATGAGCATAATCTTTAGTGCTGTACCACTTGCGTAATTGGAGCGATTGAAATAATATTGAAAGAACAATCCTAACAGTTCCAGTATTGCTGTGATTTCTTATACTTCGCACCTGTCGGCAGTTGTAACGATGCATGCTCGCTGCGAAGGCTCAGGACGAAGAGATGAGAATAGAGTCCAAAACCGCCCGCGTCCCGCGTCACTTGAGCCAGTCAATCCGCACGTCCCCCACCGCGCACCCAGCTCCAAATTCCTGCTCGCGCGACATCATCGCCCGCCGTCACCCATGTCCAAATCCATCACCGCAGCCACTCTATCTTAACAAGCTTCCTCACCCCAAACAAACCATTTGACGACCATTACAGTCGCCAATTACGCACCTTTTCACCACACAAACAGAAAGAGAAAGATAAATTATCAGTCAACATGTCAATGTTCTTCGGTCAAAAACCTCAAATCTCTTCGGAGCAAAAGATTGCGCAGGCGGAAGCTGAGATTGACATGGTGAGCGACATGTACAGCCGGTAAGTTCGGACTCGCAAATTCTGCCTTGCGCATCTTGCAACTCTATATTTGCTCGATTCTCGTCCCACTACTGTGCACGTCTACCCACGGCGACCCTCTCAAATAACATGAACACTAACACGTCAATTTTCCCCAGCCTCGTCAAGTCTTGCACAGCGAAATGCATAGACACAAACTACCGGGAAGCCGATCTCAACAAGGGCGAATCCGTCTGCCTCGACCGCTGCGTATCTAAGTTCTTCGAAGTCAACGTCAAGGTTAGCGAGAAGATGCAGGGAGAGGCACAAGGAAAGCAGGGTGGAGGTGGCGGCATGTTCGGTGGTGGAATGTAAGGAAAGTCTTGTTATATTGAAGAGGTGAAATATGGAAGTTAGGCGATATACGGGCATGTCTAGTTGTGCTTGTGCTGGGCCGCTGGACATCGGACATTCGAGGGCAGGACACCTTGCTATGGGGATGGTTGCTGCTGCATAGGTCTTTGGAACGGTCGGTGTTCTGGATCAAAATGTTGAAGGATTACTTTGCCCACCCCGCTTCAGCCTTTGAATGCCTGGATGCCTTCATGGTCACATTCACAGGAATGACATCACGATATGAAGGACATGTACAATACAAAGCTTGTATTTCTAAACCAACCGATCCATCTAACAGGGGTATCTTTCAAAGGCGTACCTTGGTCTCGATACGTGCGTGCAGTCGGACCACTTGCCTCAATGCTCAATCCTTCAACGTACTGGACATTAGGTGGTGCTTTCAGCCGACAGTGAGCCAAACCTCGTATCAGTCCATGATCGCGTGCAACCATAACATCGTGAATCGCAAAAACATGCAATCGTCTTGTATCGTACTGTTGTTCTGTCGTGGTACGCTTCTAATGTGAAGGAAGTGACAATGGAAAGGAAGCGTATGGCAGACCATGGCGCTTCGGGACAAGCTACACGAGCCAGGTCCATCCGACAAGATAGAACTGTAAATGTGGCCAGCGTACCAATGAATCGAAAGTAACACTGGATAGTATGCAAACATATCCTGTAGCAAAATGCACAGAGCGCTGTTTACGATATACTGACCTTTATTAGCTGTTGGCCCTTGACAGCAAATATGAGCTCCCACGTACTCTCAATGTGCTACGCGCATGGTTGACAAAGCTCCTCAGCGTGTCTCTTCCTCAGGTTCACTGGCAGCAGCATTCGTGAACAGACTTCTAATGAACTTCATAGAACGGGCGTCAATCTCTGCTCCGTGAAGTAGCGTATTCAATCGCGCAAACTCAAGCGCAGCACGATCTGCATGAAGTTCCGCGTCGCGGGCACTCTTCTTCGCCTCCAAAGCACTGATGCTGGCGTTACGAGTGTATTCAGCGGCCAGGATGATGCACTATTTGATTTGTACTGTCAGGAGGAGCTCTTCCAACATAAGAGACCGTGATTGGAGGGCTTCACATACCTCTGCGATCTGTACGTGGCGCAGACGCTCTGGCGAGTCTTTAGGACCCGCTTCTATGCGATCGACCATATCGTGGAGCATCTCGGTTGTGTTTTTTTGCTTCTCGGGAACTGCTTCCTGTACCAGGGACACTCTGCCGTTATCAGGCGCAGTGAACGTGCCTGTCTGGCTGCTCTTCTTATTGACCGTACGATCCGACCTAATCTCTGACCTCGATGCAGTCTTTCTTGGAAGATGGACCTTGGATAGACTCTTAGAATCGCGCATGACCTTGGCGAGCGAACTTCGTGTAGCACCCATGAATCCTTGCTTGGAAACTGCCGTCTCTGGTGTTTTGACGCGTGCCTTTTCGCGATTGAACAAGCCAAGAATACTGCGTTTGGCCTTGACTTTCGTCGCTAACGCTTCCTTGTTTTGATTCTCCGGAGTGGTGTCATCTGGAGAGGAAGATGAGACCATGGGTGTGTATGGCTGGCGACGCGACGGACGATTCTTAGGCGTTCCGTAGCCCAACGGGATATCGATGCTGATCGATCTGGCTGTTCCCGAGACCTCTGGCTTGAGAGAATCTGGGGTGCGAGCCGTATCGCGTGAATGCTTAACTCGAGACAAGGATGGCGAGCTCAATTCGACAGTGCTGATGTTGGAGGCCGAGACATTGTTTCCAGGACGATCGAACGAACCCAGCGAGGGACTTACATCCCCCTGCGTCGATGTTGTCTTTCTAACCTTGCTCACACTGAGGAGATCATCGGATTCGGATGTGATCGTCAGCTCAGAGATCTCCTCAGGCAGTTCCTAATTTGCCTGTCAATATTTTCATGTCAAAGGATAGAGATTGCATGCCTCGCAAACTTCTACAGGACTAGCTGGCGGCTCGGGCGGGTCTCGAAGCGGTGGAGCAGGTAACTTGGGCTCTGGCGTAGGTGTTGTAGACCTGTCTGATACCGATGAGACACTCCGTTCGGCATCCGGCAATGTCGAATATACTGACGAAGGCGATCTGGGAGAATTGGCATCTAAGCTAGGCTGCCTCGGCGGCTGCATCGATCGAATGGGGCTGATCTTAACGACTGGACTTCCATTTGCCGTGAGCTCTTTCGTGCTTGGTACCGGTGACGCTGTCGCGATAGTCAATTCTGCTCGGGATGTTGTCGCCTTGGAAATGCGGCTAGTGAGAGCGCTGAAAGACCGCGGCTGAGTAGTACGCTCCGGGAGGACCAAAGGTATAGCAGGTACGGCCGGGATTGAGTCGCGTTGACCTAGAATCATGGCATCTGCATCGCCAGAGATGGTTAGGATAGGACCAGTTCCTGAGCTGGAACCTGAGCCCGACGAATGCCAGGATAGTCGCTTCACGCGAGTACCCTCGTCTCCATTGGTAGAAACAAACGAGCGAGCGGCGACTGGGCTTCGCGTTGGGAGCGAGCTCCTTTTGGAACTCAGACGAGGGGGAATGTTCTCTGGGCGCAGAACTGGGTACTCTTTCAAGGTCGGGCTCGGAGTGAAAGCGTCCACTAATGTGCGTGAAGCCTTGGGAGGCGAGTTCGGATCTACAACCTGCGCGATAGGCGGACTGGGCAGTGGCTTGTCGCTTTGAGGGCGACGAGGGAGTCGTGAAGTACCCGTAGGCGTCGTCGTCGCGCGAGTTGCAGGCGACATCGCCCGTCCAGGCAATGCCCCTCTTGTTCCCACCGAAGCTGACCGAATGCTAGGTATCTTCGATTTGTTAGTAGTGGTCATGTTTGCATATGTTGACAGTTTCAAGGCGCAGTCAAGAGGTCACAGCAAAGAGGTTCGGCACGTGTCGGTATGCGGGGTGTTCGACGGTGAAGCAGGAAGGCGCTTGAAATCTCTACTATAGTTGCCATTTCCCGAGTCTTGCGCACAGACACGTTTGCTCGTAGAGGAGCAGTGATAGTGAAAGAGGAAGTCCAAGCACGTAAAGTGCAATCCTGCTCTTTTCGGCATTTCTGGCGGCCATCCCCTAAGATTCTACAGTATGAACAGACATATCGAAACGATCTCCTCTAGTGGTTCGGCTATAATCCATGACAGTGCAATGTAGATGTTGGGGGAAGAGTGTCGAAGCCGCGATGTGTGAGGTCATCGGCGCTTGGGCCACTCCCCGTTTGTAAAGAGGCCAGAGCGACGCGTCAGATGTACCAACCATTGCATTCCAAGATAAACGACCAACTCGCCCAACACTCATTCTGGCATCATGGCAAAAACATATAAGCAGATGAAGGAGGCCTGGGTGTCTGGACATACCGGAAGCTCCGTGGCAGACGTCAACAGCGTCTCGCTCGCAATGCCTGTACCGTACACACACCCACTACTCAAGCAATGGACCCTTACTGACTGTATGCATAGCTGAGTATTCTATTATGGACCGTCATACAGTCGCGCATGCGTCTCTTCACACCCTATACTCCACCTGCCTTCTTGGTTGACTTCCTGCTCAACTGCGGAGCCACGTTATTCGCGACTACCATATACTCCCATTCACCATGGATCCTGAACCTCCTTCTACTGCTACCAGCAATCGCGCTCTACGTCTTCGAGAAGCCGGTCGCGGCAAAGGATACCCCGCGGCCACCCAAGATCGATAAATCCGAAAAGGACACGAAGCTCGATGCACTCCCTGTGAAACCGTTCATTACGAACTACCGTGGCGCAATGATGGTCATAACGTGTGTTGCTATTCTGGCAGTCGACTTCCGCGTCTTTCCTCGGCGTTTCGCAAAAGTAGAGAATTGGGGTACATCGCTCATGGATATGGGTGTGGGATCATTCGTCTTCACGGCTGGTGTAGTATCTGTCCGGGCTTCTCTCAAGGAAGGAGCTGGTCGCCAGCCGCTATCGAAGCGCCTTACGGCATCGGTTAGACATGCCATCCCCCTTCTGGTCCTAGGCACTATACGGCTCATCTCCGTCAAAGGACTGGATTATGCTGAACATGTTACCGAATATGGCGTACACTGGAACTTCTTTTTCACCCTCGGTTTCTTGCCCCCATTTGCGGCTCTCTTCCAATCGGCCTTTGACTTGGTACCGTCCTATGCCGTTCTTTCTTTTGTTCTGGCTGCTGTATATGAGATTGCTTTAGACTGGACCTCGCTCGGATCCTTTATACTGGTAGCTCCACGGACGGACCTCTTCTCTCAGAATCGAGAAGGCATATTCTCTTTCTTTGGCTACCTCGCCATCTTTCTTGCAGGCCAGTCCTTGGGTGCGTCCGCACTACCAAGACAACAGCCGATCGCAAAGAACGCATCATTCCAGGTTAAGCTCCAACAATCTACGTTCGGCAAGCTGATTATGACTTCTGTATTTTGGACAGCCCTCTTCTATTTTTCAACCAATTATTACGGTCTGCGACTCCCCGTATCGCGACGCCTAGCCAACCTCCCCTACTTCCTCTGGGTCTCTTCGTTCAACAGCTACCAGATCACCGTCTGCTACGCCATCGAGAGTTTCCTCTTTCCAAACCTGTACAATGCCAAGACCAAAGAGGAGGAATCTCGGAGAAGTAGAGATGCTACTAGTACTGTACTCTATGCCTACAACCGCAACGGTCTAGCAGTCTTCCTTGTAGCAAACCTACTGACCGGTCTGGTCAACATGACATTTCCAACCTTGCATATGACTGTTTTGCAGTCTATGGGAATACTGGTCGCATACATTGCAGCAGTCACGGCAGTTGCAGTGGGTCTGGATATGTACAACCTCACCATAAAGCTTTAAGCTTCATGTGCATCCACATTTATAGTACAAATGAAGGAGATTGTATCTACTTCGTCGTAACTTGCATCGCTTTTTTACCATTTTCATCTCAAGTCTCTGCAGGGACGATGCATGGATCGGCCGAAACGCTGGTACAAATGGCTAAATCATAGCTTCGAGCTCGGTGCTTGCGTCTTTTGAACGAGTTCAAGGACGCGCTCGGCGGTTCCCCATGATGATTGATAGCCCGCACCAGAATGACCATAGCAATGCACAACCGGAACTTTCCACTTCCCCATCTCCGTCTCAATCCTTGGGCCGCCCTTGCGTGAAGCTAAAGGTCGTCAGTACACTGTTCTCGATCATATGAACCCACTGTTATAACTCACGTCTCAACCCTACATTCTTCGCGATAATCTGCAAATCTTCCGGCTTCCCTAACTCGGGACACAACTCACAACATCGCTTCATGATGTCTTGACCAAGTTCCTCATCCCACTCCGCACTCCAATCGTTTTCCTGTCGACTGCCACCTAGGATAACGCCACCGCCCAGTGGGCGAGGGAACACATATGTCGTCGTTGGATCGATCCGCTTCGGAGAGCGGAAATACCTGGTTTCACATGGTCAGCTCCATCAGTTCCATGAAGCGTCATTGGGGGCTAGGCAAGGGAACGCAAGTAGATAGCACTGTCGTACTTGACCCTTTCCATTTCATACATTCGAGTGATTGGTTTCTTAGGCTCGGCGACTAGTAAGGTCTGGCCACGTGTTGGGTAGAGGTTTGTATCCTTGATGTCCGAGAGGTTTAGAGAGCCGATTCCGGTGCAGTTTATCAGGAGAGTAGTTGATGGGTGGTCGGCCAAGACGTCTGAGACGGATGGGTAGTGGCGACGGACGAGTGTGATGCCTTTGCTTAGCGCTTGAACTTGGAGCCTAGGTACGACATGAGCTTCTGGCGTTCCGACCTTCAAGAAATTATTTTGCAATTCGGGGGAGGATAGAAAGGAGACGTACCACTGTAGATATACCTGCGTATTAATCCTAAACGTGCTTGGGTAATCAAGACCAAACGTCGCGCCCTTGGGAAGCTCACTTTCCCCCAAGTTTCTCAAACCTCCGACTAGCTGGTCGTACCACACCTTTCCCGTCTCTTCCGTCAAAAGACCTGTCTCTTCGATTGGCGCGTCAAACACACCCCACATACCCATTCTCCCCAACCCTGCTTCATTGCCTCCCCCATTGACTCCATCTACACCTTTCGTCTCACCAGCCTTTAGTGTTTGGCATCCAAATACTTCCTTCCCATCAATAAGCTCGCCAAAGCGGCGAAAGGTCACCTCGTCGTATTTCTCTAGAGGTCCGTTGTCGTTGGCCATGGAAGACCAATTTGCGCCAGCCCAGGGAGACGTGTATTCTATGGAGCGGTCTCCAGGGAAGTGCTTTGCTACCACCGTTATCTTGGCGTTGGGGTAGGCGTGAGACAGGACGAGGGACGTGGTAAGGCCGATGACGCCTGCACCCATGACAAGGACGTGCTGGTCGTCTGTTTGAGATGTCATGACGGGCTTGGTGAAATTCTGGAAAGATTCCGACTTGGTAAAGAGTATCCAAGATTACTGGCGATCTGATGTTTGAACGATGCTGGTTGCTGAATCTTGGGTTCGCGATAAGGTCTTGGTCCAATATCGAGGTGGAATGAACCCGGATTTGTGGATAGAATGCTCAAGTGTGATATAAAGCTAATATAGTATCAGCAACCCGTCTCTTTTATACGTTGCAGCCATCGGAGTAAGATTTGTGTACCTTGCACAGCTATCCCGAAGTTTAAGAAGCTATTCCGACGGCAAATAATCACTAATTCCTATACTGTGTTGTCCAAAGGTAATCGGACCTACAGCAAATGAGGCTAGGATAACGCTTAGGATCTCGCTAGGCACAACATACGTGTATTGCCTTGATCAACAAAAGTTCATGCAAAGTGCTGTTCAAGATGCCTGATCGAAGATGCAGATGACACCGATAGGATCAGTTCCGAGATCGGAATGAGCGGTTCCGCGTTGGCACCGCTCTATACGGACGTAAGATGCCAAGCGTCTCACAAGTAACGTTAAGCAGTACAAAGAGGAACACACTGATGGGTTAGAGAAAAATTGGGTATCTTTTGAAACTAATGAGCGTTGTACAAGCAACGATATGAACATCACCCCAAACACCATATTACGCACTAACATAACCAACTTTTACTAGATTAGGTCCGTTTCCTGTACGCCCAACGACCCAAGAGCAGGCACTAGGCGGATTGCTTCATGAACCAATCTGAGCTTGCGTCAACCATGTAATTTGTGATATTCGACTCATTCCCAAAACCGCCATCCGGCAATTGCATATTGCCATCGGGTGCAGGATAACTCATGGAACCATCCATCGACACTGGTAGTCGAGGCATATTGAAGAAATCGAACACGTCAAGATACTCCAGCTCATTTGGTGCAGGTGTTCGAGCCGGGGTAACAGTGTTGACCTTGGGGTTCTGGTTGTTACTGAGCTTGGGCTGTCGAGAGATGAGGAAATCCAGATCAAATGCACATCGTCGCATGTCCGCCAGGATCTTGACAGTTGAAGGCGTCACGCGTTCACCGTTCGCGCCCGTAGGGGTCTGCTGACTTTCCTGGTATTCAGAGAGTACGCGTGCAAGAAGGCTAGCGTAACGCGTACCAACTTCCCAGTACTGGCCCATGTCTTGAAGAGTGCTGACGAGAAGATTGATTGACTGGTCGACGCGATGGTCGATTGTGGATCCGTGAACCAAGAGAACACGTGCAGCCACCCACAGCGAAAACGCGAAGGGCGGGCCAAGTTTGCTCAGCAAACCATTATCACGTACAGTAGCACAAAGGGCTGTTATGTTCTCGACAGCGCTGAGACACCTCTGACTAGCGCTGAAGGACGGAGTGAAGATGGGCGATCGATGGGTTGGGTACGCGGCGGAAGAGTGAAGGCGAATGACCGTGCTATTGAAGTCAGTACATCCTTTGTCTCGGGTAGGGATCAAACTTACGTGTGGAAAGCCGCATGGAGCATTACCAAGCCACTGTCAAGATTCTGTCCCATGCCTGGCTTTGCGAATAATCTCGCAGAGTTTCCAAATTCTGCAGGAAGGTTGTACTTCCACTGTTCAATAGCATTGTCGAGCTCCCGGTACTCACTTTGCCACGACTCGACGTCAGACAAAGACGTAATATCGACTGGCTTTTTCAGAAACTTGTGAATGCGCGTGAGGATGCCTAAGATCTCGACGTAGTAGGAGAAGGAGCCAAGATTCTCCGGTCTGTTCATACTGTAGTCAGATCGTGTCGAGGTATGGAACCATCGCGTCTCAACAGGAACATTTCGCGCATACATATCATCGCGACAAGGCAATCGACGGTCAATCTCTTTCTCGTCCAAGGCGAACTCGAAAGCTGTCGCAACGGTCGCATATCGGTCCAGAACATAGATCATCCAAAACAGTCTGCGCCGACTTTCTTCTTCGATCCAGTCTTTTGGCTCGGGGAGCGTCATGGCGCGCAAAGTGTATATTGACGCAAATTGCGGGGCCACGCTAGGTGAGTAGCTTTCGACCGAAAGACCCAACTGGACCACAGAGCGCGTAATGAGAGCAAGTAGATTCCAGCCCGGAGGACCGTTGGAGCAGCCAACAACATCTAGAGCAAGGATGACAAGGGCTTGCAATGACTTGACGGAGCTGTTTTCGATGCCATACAGCAAGACCTTTTCCTTGGAGCTCTTATGGTAACGTGTGCGCTTCTCCGCGGTCAAACGTTGGTCGGTAGAAAATTTGACAGTAGTGGCGACAACAGCGTGTAGTATGATTCGGTCCGCTTCGTCTAGAGTTGTGTCTCCGAACAGCGAGTTCAACGTGCTTTGGCGGTGGAGGATGGGACACCAGGTGTTGATGTGCTTGAAGAAAAGGTCGACGAGCCCATACAGAAGATCGTAGGGAGGGAAGTCGGCGTCTGCATGGCCGAGATTCCTCGACATGGCCGGCTGGTACTGGTCGTTGTACGGGGTATAGACGTCTCTAGACATGCCACCGCTCATGCTGTTCATGTCCTCGGACTGGTAGCCATTGCCAGTGACCGAGGGCGTAGGCCTGTGATCCGTGACTCCGTTGCCATATTGGTTCTGTATTGCATTCTGCGACGGAAACGTAGGCTTCTGGATGAAAAGGGCCGTTTCTGGACGCGGTATGTGAGGTGTCTGTATCACCGGCGGGCTGCGGAACGCGGCCACCTCTTGTGGTGAAGGACCAGAAGTGGCGACCTGGCTGCTGGAGAGGTGGTTGATTTGCGACTGCTGCTGGACGAGGAGCGCTTCGAGCTTGTCTGGAAGGAGCGCAACGGTCAGCTGTGTTGGTGGTTGCCGTGTACGGTTTCTAGCTTTGGGACGGAAGGAGCAGCCTGTTCAGCCACGCTACGCGACAATTGCGACGCGTCTGAAAGCCTCTTTGTTGCCATGATGGAAGCGCAAAGTCTGACAGCAGCGACAGCAGACTCGCATGCACTTGATCACAGACCTCGGCTACTCCAGAACAGGGTGGTGAGAACACGCGACTTACCAAGTCTTGATTCCAGCTCTCGTCCATAGCCAGCGCGCAGACCTGGCTTCTTGCGCGGGAGGTAAACCTGGATGTGATTCAGTATTGGGTTGGTACGAGCCGACGGCGCAACTGACGCATGCGGAGTGGTTTTTCAAGCACCAGGAACAAGCTGGCGCGCCTCGATCGCATTTGACTTTTCGCTGCTCTACACTTGGTAAGAATGGGATGCCTCAGGTCCTGCTGTATCACACTTACTACATGTCTCGCAGCTTACGGATAGCGGCCGCTTCCGCTTGTTCGATGTGCCGTTCTGGCTTCGGTCGTTGGCTTCATCGTCGCTGGAGCGCTCATCGCCGCTCCAGTCCTGCGCATCGCCAGGGGAGTGATTGGAAAGCTTCGCAGTGCCGTTGGGACTCGCCGTCTGCTGGTGGGCTGCACTGGTATCCATGGTGGAGGATGCGATTGGGGGCGTGCAGCTGAACTCGGCAGAAGTCAGTCCGAGGTGTCCTCTTGTCGCAGCCCCGCCTACATGCTTTAGACCCTTACCCCAGATATTGTATTTACCGGCCTACTCTCCCTCCGCATGTCCGGATTGGTGGCTTCCAGTGGGCCGCTGGCTTTTCGGTACAATACTGATCTGCAAAAACACATGCTTCGGCCTTGTCCACATTCCGGCCAACGTGCCGAACGCCTCACATCGACGCCTGCTCACGCGCGTGCGCTCCACTTCTTGGCCCAAGTATCAACGGATTCTCCCCCAGTCGTTGCAAATCGCAGCGAGATGGACCGAGGGACCCTCTTCAACGAGACACGAAACCTGGCACGTAGTTATGCCGCCGTTTAAATAACATTTGCGCTCTGCTACCAAGCACTTATCTACCCCTCCTTCACGCTTTGTCGTCTGCTCCTCCTGTGTAACCAACTCTTCCTGATCTCACAATGGTTTCTTCCACAGATTCTGGCGCAGCGCGCTCCTTTCCCACTATCAAACACGTGCGAACTTTCGTTACCCAAGGCCCCGGCAGCGGCGGAGACTATCACAATGTTGCTGGTGGCCACTGGCTCATTGATAGCAAAATCTCGACTCCCATGAGCCAGTATGAAGATTACCGCAAGTCAAGAACCAGCTGGGGCATTAATGTCTTGGGATCCTTCTGTGTTGAACTCGAGGCCAGTGACGGTACCAAGGGTTTTGCTACTGGATTCGGAGGTCCGCCAGCATGCTGGCTAGTTGCTGAGCATTTCGAGCGCTTCCTGATTGGCCAAGGTAAGCACTCTGTTAGATAATGTATTGAGTAACAGTGCTAATTTATCTCCAGATCCTAGAGATACCAACCACATGTTCGAGCAGATGTACCGTGCGTCCATGTTTTATGGTCGCAAAGGTCTCCCGGTTGCCGTCATCTCAGTGATCGATCTTGCTATTTGGGATCTGCTCGGCCACATTCGCAATGAGCCCGTATACAAGATGCTCGGCGGAGCTACCCGGGAGAGGCTCAACTTCTACTGCACTGGTCCTGAGCCTGCAGCAGCAAAGGAGATGGGTTTCTTTGGCGCCAAGGTACCCCTGCCTTACGGCCCTGGTGAGGGTGTTGAGGGTCTCAAGAAGAACGTCGAGTTCCTCACCAAGCACCGTGAAAGCGTCGGACCAGATTTCCCTCTCATGGTTGACTGCTACATGAGCTTGAACGTACCCTACACAATCGAAGTCGTAAAGGCCACCGAACACCTTAACTTGAACTGGTGGGAGGAGTGCTTGTCACCCGATGATTCGGATGGTTTCGAGCAGATCAAACGCGCTCACCCTCGCATGAAGTTTACCACAGGCGAGCACGAGTACTCGCGATACGGCTTTAGGAAGCTCATCGAGGGCCGCAACCTGGACATCCTCCAGCCCGATGTCATGTGGGTTGGAGGTATGACTGAGCTCATCAAGATCTCGGCCATGGCCGCTGCCTACGACATTCCTGTTGTGCCCCACGCCAGTGGACCATACTCGTACCATTTCGTTGTTTCTCAGGCCAACTCGCCGTTCCAAGAGTACCTCGCAAACTCACCAGACGGCAAGTCTGTTCTGCCCGTCTTCGGCAACCTGTAAGTTCCCGCTCAATCGTTTGCCGAATGTTTTGCTAATGAGATGCAGATTCACCAACGAGCCCATCCCCACCAAGGGATACCTCGACGTCAAGACCCTTGATCTCCCAGGTTTTGGCCTCAAGCTGAACCCCAACGCCGGCTTGATCGATGCCACTCGCATACTAAACCCAGCGCCTCAAAAAGCGCTAAAGCCTGCTGAGCCTGAGAAGGCGGAGGTCAATGGACACGCGTAATGACACGCACCGCATTATGAGAAACGTGGTTACACGACATCATGGCGTTGTGGAGTTGCATATGGCTTGCTTTTTGGAAAGCCCGGTGTTCATGCATTGCGCCGGAGCGGCAATTTTGTTCTTGGCCGTTCGCTGGCAACCAGAAGCATCTGGATGAAATTTTGTATTTGCGCATGGCGGCATGAGCGATGACTAGTTACACACGTAGCTTTACGACATGGCTGTAGCTTATGAAGAATGAAGGATACAGAATACACAAAAAGTCTATTATTAGTGACGAATTGCGGGCGCTGACGATCTCGGGAGGCTCTGGGCTCGTTCCTACCCATGTGCAGTAGGAACCTACGCCGAGTGGGGCAACACGAGCGTCAGAGCTATGCTGTAGTCGATTCTTCATAAAGGCGCGGTGAGGCAGCAAAACCGTACTTTCCAACAAACTCGGTGTATATTTCAGGCATACACCTTGGAACTAGTAGCAACATCCTTCTTTAATACACAAATTACCCCACCAATACCCCGCATCATCATGGACGCCATCAAGGACACGGTCAACAGCGCGCTCGAGAAGCTCAACATCACAGGGGGCGCATCTCAGGGCACACCGGCGAAGGAGCCATCAGAGGAGCAGCTGAACGAGCTCAAGTCCAAGTACCAGAAGGCTGGCCAAGAGCAAGTTTTTGTACGTGCAGCCCCAACGTTGCCGTGGGCGAGTCTGGGAGCACCTCGCTGGACATTGTGAGCACCAAGTGGCTCACTGGACCCAGCCATGACTTCTGAGACGCTCCCATCTCATGTTCCCTTGCTAACAGAAACGCCAGGCTTTCTACGACAAGCTCTCCACTGCTGAGAAGGCTACCCTCTACGAGCAATTGAGCAACTTCAACCCTGACTACATCAACGAAATCACCGAGCGCGCCCTCCACCCCGCCGAAGCCGAAGCCACTGAGAACAAGCTCGAGCCCCTCCCCGAAAATGCCACATCTTCCGTCCTCTCCTCCCAGCAGGAAGATCTCGACAAATGGTACAACAGCGGATTGGACCTCATCGCCGAGAACCAGGTCGCGGTTGTGCTGATGGCCGGTGGCCAGGGTACCCGTCTGGGCAGCTCAGCGCCCAAGGGATGCTTCGACATTGGACTGCCCAGCAAGAAGAGCCTGTTCCAGCTGCAGGGTGAGAGGATCAAGAAGGCCGAGATGCTGGCCGCCAAGAAGCACAACAAGGAGAGCGTTACCATCCCGTGGTACGTCATGACCAGCGGTCCTACTCGCGGCCCTACCGCCGACTTCTTCGAGAAGAACAACTACTTTGGCTTGAAGAAGGAGAACGTTGTCATCTTCGAACAGGGTGTCTTGCCATGCATCTCCAACGAGGGCAAGATCCTGTTGGAGAGCAAGTCAAAGGTCGCCGTCGCTCCCGATGGCAACGGTGGTCTCTACCAAGCTCTTATCCAGTCCGGTGTCGTACAAGACTTGGGCAAGCGTGGCATCCAGCACATCCACGCATACTGTGTCGACAACTGCCTGGTCAAGGTCGCCGACCCTGCCTTTATCGGTTTCTCCGCGTCGAAGAACGTTGACATTGCTACCAAGGTCGTTCGCAAGCGCAACGCCAAGGAGTCTGTCGGTCTCATCCTCCAGAAGAACGGCAAGCCAGATGTTGTTGAGTACTCAGAGATCTCAACCGAAGACGCAGAGGCCAAGGACTCCAAGGACTCGAGCCTACTCAAGTTCCGCGCCGCCAACATCGTCAACCACTACTACTCATACAAGTTCCTTGAGAGCATCCCAGAGTGGGCAAAGAAGCTTCCTCACCACGTTGCGCGCAAGAAGATTCCTTACGTTAACACCGAGACCGGTGAGACCATCAAGCCAGAGAAGCCAAACGGCATCAAGCTGGAGCAATTCGTCTTCGACTGCTTCCCCTTCCTGACTCTGGAGAAATTCGCTTGCATGGAAGTGAAGCGTGAGGACGAGTTCTCGCCCCTGAAGAACGCCCGCGGAACTGGCGAGGACGACCCTGATACCAGCAAGCAGGACATCATGACCCAGGGCAAGAAGTGGGTCCAGGCCGCTGGCGCCACCGTTGTCAGCGAGGACGCTGAGGCTGGTATTGAAGTATCACCATTGATCTCATACGTAAGTTCTCAGAGATACCTCTTAGTCTTTGAAACCGAACGCTAACTGTCATCCAGGGTGGCGAAGGCCTTGACTTCCTTAAGACCAAGACCCTCAAGGCTCCTGCTGTCATCGAGTCTGAAGACTAGAAGACCTACAAAGCTCGATGCAACGTGCTCCAGCCACGAGACCTGTTCTTTGGCACGACAGAGGACGGTAAGCGAACGACCACGATTATTAAAAAAAAAAAACTTGTCACTACTGTTGGCATTGAATAATAGATAGACACGAATGATATGAATATTTGGGACAACCACCTGCTCGAATCCTTTGACATAGCCGGACTGCACAGAGGGCTTTGGGTTGCTGATATTGGGGAAGCTGACTCTGCATCTTAGCTACAGGGTACGACTGCAACAATCGTGTCATGATGCGGGGCGGAGATGACCAGCTCTCAAACTGGCGGCAGCAGCGGAGGGCATAAAACAATCCAGGGCCCCCACGGTACGATGAAAGCGCCTCTGATGCACGATGATAGGAGACGGGACATTTCTAGAGTGAAGAGGGCATAGTCGGGTTCTATGAAACGGCGCATGATGCAATTCGGGGCTGTTTGTGGTTCAGTTCGACCTCGGGAAGAACCAGATTGCGCATTTCGTTAGCGCAACCGAAGCAGGGACCACAGCTATGAGAGATGCATTTTGCCCGTTGCCCGAACATTCCACGATCCCCCAAAATCTCTCACCACATTTAGCAGGAGGTTGAAGAAGAGTTGCTGTGGGAAGGTCAGGAAAGTTGCAAGTAGGTTGCGCCCGCCGAAAATCGCCCCTTCCCTATGGTGCGCGCCAGGTTCCGCCCTGGCGCGTGCTTCGTCCGCGTTCCCTTACCCCTCGACGACAGCCCCTCGAAAAATCTGCGACTGACTGGCGAACGCAGGCGAAGGAAATTGAAGAAGCAAACGAAGCAGGTACTTTCGCCCTATCAGCTCTGCTAGTCGCGCGCGCACTCCCTCGAGCGAACACGGAGCAGAGCAGACGTCGCAGCAAACACACCACCCAAAACCACCCCTCATTCGCGACCCACTCCCTGCGCAACCCACGCAACCACCGAGTGTATACTTATACGCTTCCCAGATATACCCAGAGAAACAACACCATGTCTTCCTTGTCTCGTCGTGCGTGCTTCAAGTGCGGAAACGTTGGCCATTATGCCGGTAAGCCATCCCGCGCATCGACTCGTGGCGCGCGCTGCGATTGCACTATCAGAAGACACATCGCGCATGTTGGTTCTGAGTGTAGTACCTACAATGCGCCGCCACGAGCATTGTTACAGCGTTCATGAGAGACGTTGCGACTGACGGAGATATATAGAGGTTTGCTCTTCCTCTGAGAGGCTGTGCTACAACTGTAAGACCACCCCAAAACCACTTGCGACTATGGACTAATCTCTCTACAGGCAAGCAGCCAGGCCACGAGTCTAACGGATGCCCGCATCCCCGCACCACCGAGAGTACGTCACTGCAATCCACACTACCCGTTTTCACATCGAGGACTCGTCCGATGGCCCTCGCGCACTATCGGCGATATACAACCCTACACGATAAAGAAATGAAGAGCTGACCAAGGAACAGCCAAGCAGTGCTACCACTGCCAGGGTCTTGGACACGTCCAGGCTGACTGCCCAACTCTTCGTCTGAGTGGAGCCGGCACTAGCGGACGCTGCTACAGCTGCGGTATCGCTGGCCATCTTGCCCGCAACTGCCCCAACCCTGGAATGGGTCGTGGAGCTGGCGGTCCTCCTCGTGGCGGCTATGGAGGAGGTTTCCGTGGCGGTTTCGCTGGTGGCGCTCGCCCGGCCACTTGCTACAAGTGCGGTGGACCTAACCACTTTGCCCGTGACTGCCAGGCCCAAGCTATGAAGTGCTACGCCTGCGGCAAGCTTGGTGAGTCGACTGAACACATTCCAGTATACAACCCCTAACATCAACTAGGTCACATCTCCCGCGACTGCACCGCCCCCAACGGCGGCCCCTTGAACACTGCTGGCAAGACTTGCTACCGTTGCGGTGAGACCGGCCACATTTCCCGCGACTGCACTCAGGCTGAGGTCAACGGCGACGCTACCGCCGCGCCTGCTGCTGCTGCTGCTGCTGCCGCCGCCGCTGCTGCTGCTGCTCCCGTCCCGGCCGCTGCTCCCACCGCTGCTGTCGCCTAGGCGACTTCAAGCTATGCCGAAGTCTCGCCATGAGTAATATTGTGGCGAGTACTGGCCCCTATGGCATGCACTACCATGTCTTTCATTAGGTTTACCATTTCATCACGATCATTTCCCTAGCCAATCTCAGCATTATTTCGGCATATCTCACGCATTCACGAGTCATCAATGGATATGAGAAAAGTTCTTCACGATTCTTATACTGATACCCCACGAACGTTATATCCCTTACTTCAACCATTCTACCATTATTTCGACAGACGACGGCTTGGCGATTTGGATGGCGACCTGTTTTTATACAAGCGATTTGGCTTGGTAGTTTCTTCGGCAGAAGAGTTACCAGTGCGAATGTGCTTGGATAAACCAGGCTCGTCTATGGAGCTGGAAGGCGCTGTGGTGGTTTGGTGCGAAAGCTTGTTCCCAGGGGATGGAGGTAGTATGGACGAGGAAGAGTGAAGGAGACTGTGTGTGTATGTCGGGAGCTGGGTCGGTGCATCTGTCTGTTATCATTATCTTCATACATGACTGTGCTTGCATAGCTTGGATTTAGATTGTATCATCTATTTCGAATATATGCAGTCACATCAGTATCTGACTTCCGAGATTCATCTCATCTTCACTGACTAAAGTACCATCTACAGTCCACTCGACTGCATGATCCCGAGAGCTGTTATGATGCCCAACAAAACAGCGTTGGCCACGGCTGCCTTATTCTGCCTGGCCATTGGCGTATGGAGGAACCGGCTGTCATCACTGGTATCCCCATCATTGGATCTGGCATTGCTCAGTCACAGTTTCCAGGCCGTCAACTCGGCCCCTCTCATATTCGATTCAATCGAATTGAGTTCATCATTTCTAAGATGCACGTGTGTTCCTCTCTCCTCGTTGCGAGGCCGTCGCGTTGGTGGTGGTTGCGCCTTCCTTCCTCAGTGTTACACAGACGGAACAGACCTCAGCGCCCCCGTTCATCGTGCCTTCCTCCGCTGTCTCGCCTTTCGCAGACTTTCCCATTATCTCTTCTTCCACAATCTCTCCCTCATTCCCACCTCTGTCCCTCACACACGCAGCACTCAAACTCTCCCTTGTATCGCTCCGTTTCGTCTTATACCTAGTCATTTACCATCACGACCTACTATGGGCGCTTCTTCGGTTGCGAGTGACGACTCGAACAATGATGTGAGTGACTTCCTCTCACTACTATGAGATTCAAATTGACTGAACACACACAGGACGGTTTCATCGTTGATATCGATGCGATCCAGGCGCACGGTATCGGTGCTGTCGATATCTCGAAGCTGAAATCAAATGGCTACTATACAATCGCATCAGTGCATTCGGCTACTCGTCGCAATCTACTGAAGATCAAGGGCTTCAGTGAAATCAAGGTCGACAAAGTCAAGGATGCCATTGCAAAGTGCCAGGTACATCACTAAGTCCACTTCACACTCAAGTGTAGATCTCTGACGTGCATCACAGCCTTCTGGGGGAGGCTTCCAGACTGCTCATGAGCTCGGACATTTGCGAAAGCGTGTCATCAAGATTTCTACTGGCAGTAAGGCGCTCGATGCCGTGCTCGGAGGGTGAGTGTCTGTGTCAGCCTATGTTCCAAATATCGATGCTGACGATACATAGTGGCTTCCAGACGATGAGCATCAGCGAGGTCTTTGGAGAGTTCCGCTGCGGAAAGACCCAGTTGTCACATACCATGTCTGTCATCGCACAGCTACCGAAGGACATGGGTGGTGCGGAAGGCAAGGTAGCCTACATTGGTATGTCGAACATCGCTGCCTTTGAACTCGTCTCACACCTACTCAGATACTGAAGGAACATTTCGACCGGAGAGGATAGCCCAGATCGCAGAGCGATTCGGTGTAGACCCCGAGACTGGTGTGTATCATCTTACTCTCTGTGGTATCTCTACTGACAATCTTCAGCTCAAGACAACATCACTTATGCGCGTGCTGTGAACTCGGAGCATCAGATGGAACTTCTCAACAAAGTTGCAGAGTTCTTTGTCAGCAATGAGTACCGCCTACTCATCATCGACAGTATCATGGCTCTTTTTCGTGTCGACTATACGGGCCGTGGTGAGCTCAATGAGCGGCAGCAAAAGCTCAATCAGTTCCTCTCGAAGCTAACGCATGTGGCTGAAGGTACTCCAAAGTTTCCCTCATGGTTCCGATTCAACCTAACAGTGCATAGAGTTCAACGTCGCCGTGCTCCTGACAAACCAAGTTCAGAGCGATCCTGGAGCGAGCGCTCTCTTCGCTAGTGCAGATGGTCGCAAGCCCATTGGTGGTCACATCCTCGCGCACGCTTCTGCCACAAGGATCTTGCTTCGCAAGGGTCGAGGTGAAGAGCGTGTTGCTAAGATCCAAGACTCTCCTGGTATGTCAGCATGCAGCGTTCCCATCGTACAGTAGTACGGTGAGGTACTGTACGGTGATACGACGTACGTAAGCCGTACGTAGGAGACCTCTCATCGGTCCGTACAGTATCCGTAGGGGGTGAAGTTTTGGGAGCCGTAG